TGGACAACTGGCAATAAGGGGGAGCCAAGAACAGTGTAACGATGATTGTTACGATCAGCTTGCCAGAGTCGTGCACGAACTTATGGCCGACTTCAAGAAAGTCAAGCAAGTTTATTGGGGTTTTGTCTCCGTCCCGCGACGGAGACTCTGACTTCCGTCGGCGTATGCAGAGCAACTTTGGACGATGAACCATTCACAAGAAGACTCGTGGGGGTCGATCGATTGCCAAGTACGTGTGGTTGGAATTCTTCTATACGGTTTGTTTGTTTTACACTAGATCCCCATTGTTCTGGACTAATTATCGATATTCTATTTTTGAAAAATACAATCCCTAAATACGGGACATTCCGCTTCACACAAAAAGCAAAGCAGCAAATGTAGCCTGAATACACCTTTGCTAACTCAAATCCGCTGCCGCCAAGCAAATGTAGCCTGAACTAATACTGTACACCTTTGGGTTAGCAAAGGTGTACAGTATTAGTTCAGGCTACATTTGCTGCTTTGCTTTTTGTGAATCAATCAAGACGCCAAAGCTCACAAATTTGCACTGAGTGTCAAAATATTATGCTGGCACTGTTGTATTTCTATTGTGCTGTGGCTGTATCAGCAGCAGCGAAATCAGTACTCTGGAGCGTACGGAGCTAACACATGAGCCAATGCCATCTAACTATCTAGGCTTTAGAACCACTGCACGGTGCGTTCAAGACTCGTGTTCAGCAGTATAGTTGTAGAACACAGTGTTCTGGTACTCAGGTTCGCAGTACGGGAACGAAGCCTCTGAGTCGGACGGAGCAAATAAGTTTTTGCCAGCCGTGTACGTCGAGTAGCATCCGAAAGCGAGGCAAACCACAAAAACGACGATAGCAGCAATCTTTTCCACCATCGGGATGTTGTCCCAGGCCTTGACCAGGTAGAACGCAACCGGCAACAGGATGCAGCTCATGGTCAATGACGACGAGCCCACAAAGTCGGCAAAGTCGGAGAAGTGGTCCTTGAACAAGATGGACAGCACGACGAGGATCACGGTGATGCAGATACGAAGCACGATGTACTTGATGGCATTGGCACCGCGATACTCGGCCGCCTGGGCATCAGTCTCATTGTGGCAGTTGCAGTGGCACTTGTGGTCAGCGACGGCGTCCGCCTGCTTCATGATCTCATCAGCCGGCGTCGCAGACTCAACGTACTGAAGTCCGTTCTCGACATCAGTCGACTTACGCTGTCTGTGCATGCCCAGTACCACAAATTCGGCCATGTAGAACGCGGGGTTGATGAGGACAGAGAAGGCGGTGGTAATGTGGAGCTGCATGGCCATGTAGGCGAGCACGACGGCGCCCCAGTGAGGCTTAAAGCCGAGAGACGTGAGGCCGGTGCTCGAGTCCGGGTAGATGGTGTACAGGATGTTGCCCGAGATCTGGCAACCGGCAGACGTAAAGGGCACGACGGAGAGCACCACGAACAGGATCGAGATGATTACCATGGTGAAGGTGATGACGCGCGGCATGCGGTGCGGCTCGCTGTGTTCACGCTGTAAGTCGGGGATAATGATACCGGCGCCGTAGCTGAGAGCGAGGTTGCCAAACGTGCCCGCCACCTGTGAGAAGCTGACGTTCGTCTCCGGGACGCTCGGGTGGCCACGCATGCCGTGCATCACGACGGCAACGCCGATCACGTCAGCTACGAGTGTTCCCACACAGCCGGCGAATGCAACACCGGAACCCTCTTTCAGCGTCGGAACCAGACACAACGGCAGCACCATCGCAGCCATCAGTATAATCCACACTGTCGGACTGAATGCGCCCGGGAACATTCCGTCCAGCAGTCCGCCGCCAAGCACCAAGAACACGCACGGGATCAAGACACAGGAGATGATCTGGGAGCCCGTGCACAGCCAGCGACCGGCTTTGCCCATGGCCCATTCCCCGAGATCGCCGAACGTCACCACCGTCGACGGTGCGAGAAGCATAACCTTAGACATCGCGATCGAGGCGTAGACGTTGGCGAACACCATGAAAGCCATAGCAATGCTCGCGAACACCGGACCGGCACGGGCGAAGTTGCCCGGCAGACCGAGCGTACCGATGCCGCAGACGCAGCAGAAGAGGTTGAAGGAGATCTTGATATCCTCGAGGGTGAAGAACGCTTCCTTCGCCATGGTGAATCCGGTGAACTGGATGCTGCAATTGGACTTGGTAAAAGGCGAAGTGAGCGCGTGGCAGTGTGTTGTGTCAAGCCGGTGTCGTAGCCGTCCGGGTGAACAAGCATGTTTGGATGCCCACGTCCAGTCATGCCAGCGCTGGTCATGAGACAGACGACCGGGCGCAACGCCGCGACTCCCGGTGTTAGAGGTTGAGTCTCGGTGTTATAGTTCAGGGCAATCCGGTGCTGTGGTGCCTGGTGCCACAGTGACAACAGATCTTCACGATGCTTCAGGTAGAGAAGAGCGATGGTTTATCGTGTATTCTGAACACGCGAAGTGTCGCGCCGAACCAGCAACGGCTATTACGAGTTCGTATACACTGGTAAGCGCCGCGCAAAGTGGAGGAGACGAGATATAATAGCTCGTCGACACTGTACATTCGTCTACCGCTGCACATGGACTGTCCGCTAGGAACCGGCTTGTCTGTACAGTATTCACATGTGAATTTCACAGACACACACACAAGAATACTTGTATTAATACTAGTACCTACTGTATCTAGCATGATGACCATGATGAACGATGCAGCATCAAAATCGAATTAACTTCATCACTTTGACTAATTAAGCTAGTTAGTTGGTGTGAGCCTGTTCAGAACCGCAGAGCTCGACGAACGGGTGGGCTTGGTTGCAGCAGCTCACGGATGATGTGCATGGATTGATACACTTCGAGCAAGTTTCCGGACAGGTCGCCTTGCAATCCGATCCGATCCATGTGATCAACTGCCGCGGTGACGATGTCCAGACACTCGTCGTACGCGATGGCCACGGCCAGACTGCGAGGCTGCCCTGTTAGCACCACCATTCGCTCGGCAGCAGCCATGATGGCACGCGAGCACGCTTCGAACGTCGGCAGTCGTTCATCTTCACCTTCGTCGTCGTTGTCGCCGTCGTTGCCGCCGTCGTCACCTGACGTCCAGGTCACGATGGAGCCGCCATAGCTGAGTCTAACCGTCGAAGCAGTTGTCTGCCGCTCGGCTGCTCTTGACGCTGCTCGGACCGGGTGGTTGAACGGCGTGCACATGCGGTTAATCATGCTGACGGTGTCCGGAGTGCCCATGATGCTTGATGCTTGCTCTGATGCCTTTTTCGGAGAATTCGAGTCTGCCTTTCTTGGAGAAATCTAGTCTGCACCGGAGTAAGAACGCCTTGAGTAGGCGAGAAAGGCCTTCGTCCAGCACGGAGCGAAGTACGCCAAGCTTGAAGCTATGGCGAAGTAGACCACAGCGACGTGAAGAAGTTAAGTCAGTGAAAACCTCTAATACTCCGTTTGAGCGGAATGTTTGCATTTCGATAACAAAAGCCTAAATCGCTAGATGCAGTGACTCCGTGGCGAAGATGTCACGGCGTTTCTGTGTGAGTTTCAGTTGTGCCAGTTGATCTCTCAACGTTGAGTTCTCCTGGCTGACCCGTAGCAACTCGTTGCGGTACAACACGTTCTTCCTCTCCGCCAAGAAGCGGCACTTCTGCTCCCTTGCGAGCGTCGCCTCCATCTCCCGGAGCTTCCCTTCCAGCTCCGTCGCCTCACTCGACACCGACATCGAGTTAGCTGAAGTGACAGCAGCGGCGCTCGCGCTCAGTCGCTGAAACATCGTCCAGCCCTTAGGTCGCTCCTTTTCGTCTGCGTTCTGCTGCTCCTTTTTGTCCTCTGATTCTTCTACCTGCGTCTCTGGTGACGTCTTTTGACGCTGAAACACAAGCGTCACGGGGCCTCTGGGCACCTGGCGAAGCTGATCCACGATCTGTGGGAAGCGTAGACTCGAAACGTCACTGTCGTTCACGGACAACAACATATCTCCTGGTTTGATAGCTCCACTGGCTTCTCCAGGCGCTAAAGCACCGGACGGGAGCCGGTAGAACGGCACCCGCGTGTCCACAATGGCGTGAGAGGCATCCCCAGCAGCTGCAAAGTAAATCCCAAGGCCGTACGCGCCCTTGATGAGCTCTACGGAGTAGCATGAGGCTTCAGGAGACGAATCCATGCTAATCAATAGATCTTCTGTGTCGCTTCAAGATCAGGATTTAAATCACTTGGAAAATGTATGGTCACTAAATTCGGACATGGCTACACTTACATACTACTAACATGCAATTGCGTTGACGACGCTCTTCCAGCGGGGAGGTTCGACGTTCGCTTTGCCTCCACTGCTCGAGTACGTCCCGAGGTCTTTAACCCACAGAGCGAACTCCTCCAAATTGCTACGTAGTCTCGCGTCCTGCGTCGCGTCTTGGCTCGTGATGTAGTCGATGTAGAAAATGTAGTCCCTGTAAAAGAACACATTATTATAATGAATGCTTTTAACGATAAATCATACACAACGTACCAATGCGTTGTCTGGGCTGTAAAGAGGCTTCCGGCGGTAGCTGCTGGACGGCTCTCAATCTTGACGATCATCACGTTTCGAAGTGCGAAAGCCGAGACGATCTTGAAAAGAGCTTGAGGCTCGTTGGGCACAGCCACGACGATGCTAGACTTTGTAGTTGTAGGAGATCGTGTGCTAAGGATGGAGACCCTTGGCGATGCACCTAGTGGCAGCGGTGTCGCGTCCAGCTTTCCGAGAATCATGTAGCGCGTCTCACTATTGAGTTCATCTCCAACTCCACGTTCCAGTACCACCAATCCATGTGCATGAGCAGCCTGTTCACTTGCAATTGCTGCCACGTGACGCTTCTCCTCCTGCTTGACGGTCTGACAGGCGCCAGCGCTATCCCAAGCTGCGTTGCGCTCGATGATTCTGCCCAATCTACGCTCCATGGCGCAGATGTAACTCTCACAATGATCCAGCACTGCTGGGTGCGATGATAACTGTTTAATCTCACTCATAGCCACCCCTGGCAACACGCACAGACACAACTCCTGCACACAAGCTACCTCGCCCACAATCTTCAAATGCGAGGCCACTAGGCGGTCTAAATTGCCGTGGAAAGTGCCTGAAATCGAGTTCTCCACGGGTAACACGCCGAACGCCAGTTCGTTTCTCTCTACGGCTTCCATCACGTCGTTCATGTGGGAAAATCCCACCGTCATGAAGTCGTTGGGTGTCAAGGCATTGGCCGCTCGCAGCTCCTCGAACGCTGTCTTGGCTGCCACCTCTGAGAACGCACCCTCTTTGCCCTGGAAACCTACCAGCACGTAGTTGGTTGACAGAGGTGCCGGTTGAATTGGTTGCTGCACCTCCTGCACTGTCATCGCTGCCTCCTGCTGAGTCTCATCTATCTCCTCTTTAGCCTCCGTCTTGTGTTTCTTGCTTTCGTTGCCATTAATTGGTGTTCTCTCCGTACCGTGCTTACTGCCTGCTGACGCAGGTAGCACTTGTCCCGTGGACGGCCGTCGTCCCGCGCCTGGAAGCCGCTTGGCTGTCGGGTGCAGCGCCAAGAGCTCCGCTTCCTTGTCCCTCCACGCGCGAACGCAGTTGCGGTCCACGTTGTACTGACGAGCCACAGAGCGCAGAGACTGCGTTTTGGAAGCCTCCACTACCTTGAGCTTCTCGGTCACCGTGAAACTGCGCTTCTTCTCGCTCTTTGCCGGAGGCGCAGCCGCACCGGACTCAGCGTCCGACATGCTTGTCAAGCCCGACACTTCAATGTAGGACGAATGTTGCTTGTTACTGAATGGGTTAGCACTCACTTCGATGTTGAGCGAATGTCGTTCTTCGCCAGATTAAATTTAATAAGAGAGTGAATAGAGGCACTGAGTGAGATCGCACCTAAAAGGACTTTTACGGTACCAAATCGGTAAATTACCTTGATATATTACCAGATACTTCAATATTTCGAAAATCTGAAATCAGACACCTTCCCCCTTACGTCCCTCCGCAAAACGTTCAGAGCCGCTCATTTGGATTTTCGCGCGTCTAGGCCTCAAGTCGACCTTGGGTCGCTATTTGTGTACGTTAAGTTATTGCGCTTGTGTTGGTTGTTATTGTTGCTAAGAGATATTGTAACAGCACAGGAGACGGTCTATGAGTGGAAGCGAACCAGAGGCGCACGTGCCATCCGCCAGCGTGTGGGAGGCCTCACCAATCGGCCAGGAATGGCATGAAAACTGGGACGCATTCAACAGCTACCTCGGCGAGTATCAGGAGAGGACACACCAGCTCTTTCGACTCCGTAGTTCGACGTCGGTGGCCCGTCGTAACACGGAGATCAAAGCCCATGGAGCTATTGCTGACAACACATCGGGAGAGACGTCCGATTCACCGCCCTCGCTTATCCCAGATGAATTCAAAACCTATTGGATGAAACTTATCTGCACGCACGGATGGCGTCGAAAAAGTCGCAGTACTGGTCAACGAAAGAGCTACTTCGGCAAATCGACTGAGTGCAAGGCGGATATCAAGGCTGCTGTGACGTGGAACAGAGATAAGCAGAAATTCATGGTGCGCGTTACTGGCTACAGCATCAGCCATAATCATCGCGTCGACCGAGCTGTGTACGAGAACCATTCGTCGGTGCGGCGTGTCGAGGATCCAATGCTACTTGCGTTCGTGGACGTGCTACAAGCGTCGGGTTCGAAACCCAAGCGGATCATGCAGTTTCTGCGCGAGAAGACGGGTACGTATACATGACTTTCGTCTTGCTTTAACTTCTATTTCTGATGAATCCGTTTATAGGTCAGAACGTGACGCTCCGTGACGTCCACAACATGGTTGCTAGAATGAGAGAGAAGCGGCGCGGTTCCGGAACCGTAGAGCAGCGACTTGAATCTCTAATGCGGGAATTTTGTGGAAGGCGGGGTAACCGAGCTTCTGTGTTTGTTGATGACGAATCTTTGGCGCAGACAATCACGCTGCAGACGCGCCAGATGCGCCGCTGGTTCAAGGCTTTTCCGGAGGTGCTGTTGATCGACGCGACGCACAACACGAACGACTCGAGGTACAAGCTCTTCTCGTTCATGATACATGATGTGTACGGCCATGTAAGTTTACGTGTCTAGAGGTACCTGTTGGTGACTATAGACACGTAATGTACAAGAGTTACCCTCAGATGTACCTGTAGGTACCGAAAGGTACTAATGTTACCGTTTGCGTGCCTAGGGTCAGTATGTGCAGCACAGCCTAATGGAAAATGAGAGTGCGGAGTGTCTTACCGATGCGATCGAATCTTTCAAGTTTTCAAATCCGTCGTGGGAGGAGATTCGTGTTATCGTGATCGACAAAGATATGGGTGAGCTGAGCCTTTTGGAGGCGCACTTTCCAAACGTTAAAGTGATTCTCTGTCACTTCCATCTCAAGAAATACATCCGGTCGGAGATGGCAAAGAGTGAGTACGGAGGGCCAAGCAGCTTCGACATGGATCAAGTAGAAGACGCAGTAGATATGATGAGAACAGCAACAACAAGTGAAGATTACACAAGGTATCTCAAGTACCTGTATTTCCTCTTGGATAACGTTCAGTTATGCTCTACGGACGCGATCCCAGACCCAAAGCACCCGTTTCTCCGTTATTTTATGAAGAATTGGGACCAACAGAAGGAGCGTTGGGCTCTCTACGCCTGTTCGGACGTACCGCATCTTGGGAATCACACAAATAATCGGTAAGAATTTATGGAGTTAATGCTTCTGCATTTTGCATCGAGTTAAGGCTTCTGCATTTAATTTGATGCTAACGTTTGTGTGTTATGCGATAGCTTGGAGGCATCGTGGGGCCATCTTAAGGAAATCCTGAAACCTGAGATGCCTCTTGACGAATGTGTGGATACACTGATATTTCTGCAGGCAGTCGCAGAGATGGAATACAGTAAAAATATGACAGCGGTGGGGTACATGCGATATCAGGGCGCGGATAAAGAGCTGGAGCGACTTTCACAGGAGGTGAGCCCACACGCTTACCGTCAGATTGAGCAACAGTACTGGATTGCAAAGGACCGAGCTACCCACTACGAGGTCACCGAAGTGACGCCCAACATGTTCACCGTATCGTGCGGCAGCGACAATAACGTCTATCATGTCGATACGTCGGTAAGTTTTATAGTTGATGCTAGCAAAATTTATCTTATTTATTGACTAATTGTCTTTGTATTGGTACAAATGATAGATATAACGCTGCTCTTGCGTTTTCATGCGTACCACGCTTCTTCCTTGTCGTCACGTCATGTACTGGAGACTGAGCAATGGTAAGAATGTAATTCCGATTCGGCACATTGCCCAGCGATGGAGACTGTCGTGTAAGCTGAATCAACCTGCTGAAGAGGAAGACGCCCCCCAAGATCAGATCGCACGCAAGTCCTTCCAAATCCGTGAGTCGATGATGGTGTCAAGCAAACACAAGGTTCTCAATGGCACCACCAAATTCAGTACGGCTTGTCGACGCGGTACTCAGATTGCTGACATTATGAGCCGTAATGGTACAGCAGTCTTCAATGAGATGCTGGCAGCTTTGGACAAGTTTGAGGAGATCATCAAGGACGGGGTTGCACCGTTCGTGGGTCGTGAAGGTCAATGGTTTGACCCACTTTCTCAGTTATCGATTTCTTCGTACGACCTACCTTCTGCTGTCGATGCAAGCGGCACCACAACATCCGATCAAGAATTGGATCCTGTTTCCCCCAAAATTCTCGAACAAAGTCCTGAATGTGACTATTCTGATGACGTGCCGCAAACACACCCACACCTGTGCGACTCTATGGATACTGAGACTACAACTACAGATGCTGTGCCAGGGAGTATCAATACCGTGACGTCAAATACAAATGGGGTGGCTACAAGTACCACAGGAACACCTCCAGTGGCTACACGTACCAGCGGAGTGGCTGCAGGTACCATAGGAGAAGCTGCAGTGGCTACAGGTACTGATGGAGTGCCTACAGGCTCTCAGAAGGGTTCAACTGTACCTACGGTGACTGAGGATACCAATCGCGCAAAGGATGTAGAAACGGCGCCAACAAGCATCCTGTCGAAGCGACATCCCACAAGCTCAGCTAGCGAGAACTCTGACACATCTACACCGGCGACATTCACGATCAGTAAAAGTGCGAAGAGCCGTGGGCGCCCTAAAGTGCGAAAACAGCAGAACGTGTCCGGCAAGAAGGAGCGCATGACTCGTGGAAAGGAAAAGGCGACAAAATTAGTTCAAGGAACATTGGTGCCTGTGCCGAGCCTAAATAATCTCGTCAAACTTCTGGATAGGGACTACAGATACATTGATATCAAGTCGTCGACGCAGTCGCTCTCGGAACGATCGGTCCCACAATCTAAGAAGGCTATTGCTGGAATTTTCACATCCGAGGAGAGCGAAAACGACATTCGCTACATTTTCCCGCAGTGGTTTGTGACGAAAGCACAGAGTGCTATTCAGCAGTTTCGAAAAGCCGTACCTGTGGACTGTGGCGAAGATGGCGTAGGAGTACGAGTACCTCGCTTTGGTATCTATCAACTAAGGGATATCAATGCGATGGATCGCTGGCACCGTGCTTTGAAGTGCATTACGGACGTGGAAGATACTGTGGTTTGGGCTGTCAATACCAGCAACAAACGGTTGTCATTGCCAGATGAACTTTTGGACGGCGTGAGTGATGACATCGGTATGCGTGAGCAGAAAATCAAGACATTATTATTGCGCGGAGGACCGCGTACACCGTTTGGTACTCTATCGTCACTCTCGCTACTCACGTTACGTGGAAATAAATGGTTAGATGATGCATGCATGGCTCAAGGGCTGGTGCTACTTCAAAAGGAAAACACCAAAGTGGGAATTATCGATCCGATATTTCATCGGTTTCGCGACCGAGAAGATAAACTACGCGTTATACGCAGTGGTACTCCTTTTGATTCCGCCAATGAGCTGGTATTGATGGGGTTACACGTGGATAACAATCACTGGTGTGGGATTGTGTTTGATTTTCGCCCTGAAACCAGATCAGTCACGGTATTCGACCCATTGCAAGCTACGAATACCAATTATTACGGCATGTGCGATGATTTACTAAAGGATCTATTCGGAGAATTGCGTGCCAACATGAGGCTCAAGAAGGAAACCAAGCCACGCCAGCCAGATGGAGCCAATTGCGGCGTTATGGTACTCCTCTTCTTTGAGTGCTACATTCGTGGTATTTCTATGCCAACAAGCCAAGCCCCGCAATGTTGCGCTTTATGCGGCTGCGCTATCTACTGAAGTGTATACCGTAGCGCTATTGCAGATGGCGCTCTTGTAGATGATAGCACTATGTTTACCTTTCAGTACAGAACACATTCGTTGATATCTCACGTCTCCAGTATCATTTACAGGAATAAACTGGTAAGACGAGTTAATGACAGCTCATCAGGTAGCCGTTTGCTCTTTTGAGGTAAGTAGGAGCACTGTAACTCATCGGTGGCATTTGTTCAAATTGGAAACTCCATAGTACAAGTGACGCTCGAAGCTCTTATGCAAGCGGCCTAAAAATTTCCCTCATAGTCGCCCCGTAAAATGGTTTGGAAGCCAATGTCCAAAAATTCACTAAGTTATCTGTACATTCGATCAACATTCACAATGTGATTTATAAACTGTGCAACCTTCGCGTAACACCTTGTATTTCAATCCACCACCACCACTCATCGCAATCTCTATATTTGAGAAATTTTTTGAAATGTATTATTTTATATTACCCCCCTTTTCTGAAATCGGTACCTCTTGCACCAAATAAAGTGCCTTAAGGCACGCCGGTGCCTATGGTGCCGCTCAGTGGGTAACACGACGCCCCGATTATGTACACTCCATTCAGTGCCTGCAACAACGGTCATTTAATAATTAAACTTGATGGTACAGTAATTTGCCTTAATAGCAAAGTCCGTCCTGGTTTACATTTTTCAAGTGAACTGTGTGATAGAGGCGTGATTCTCTACAAAAACATATGTGAAGTCATTTACAGACACTTTCTTAAGGGTTATAAAATTATATGACCTCGCTATTGAGGCAAATCACTGTACTACAGTAGGACGACGTCCTGTTTGCACTCAAAAAAAAAAACATAAATGTCTGAACAGTACTTGCGGCACTCGAATCACAATACAAGCACTCTTACTAATCTTTCACCACTCAGAAACAGCATGAATCACCGTAATGCATACACGAACCACACAAAACTCCCCTCACAGCACCAGAAAATCTAACATTCAATCAAATTCACGTATTTCTTCAATTTTATCCAATCGCAATATAATATCTCCATAGCACTTCGGGCTTGAATCCACTCGATAACTCGACCCCACAGCCACAACCAAGCCCCGCCACCCCCACAAGCTCGCCCAACTCACCATGCCCGCCAGAGTCGCCTGGACTGCAATGACCCCCATCATGCCCACCAGCGACGCCGAGCTGCTACTCGAGTCGCTCAAGACCTTCAAGGTCACCAAGAGCCATCTGGTCTCCTGTGGTCTGTGCAACCACGCCGTTCCGCACGCGATGCGCGTTCGCTTGCTTGTGTGCAATTGTCACACTTGTGCTAGCGTCCAACCCCACGCCTCCTGCTTTTGGCGGGGCAAGACGCTTGCATACAGTACAACCTTATGCGAGTGGAGGAGGCAGGTGAGTACCTCTCACCTGCCCCGTCCCCGCGCGGAACCGCCTCATCGTACTAATGGAGGAGGCGGCACGTGAGTGGGTAGCACAAGGATTAAAGCCCTCAAAAATTCGCTCAGGGTTTTTACGGCGCTTCAATATCGACGAAACCTCGCTGCCGCCGCTTTCAGTTGTGCAGAGGTTTGTGCACAACTACGCCACCTCTCACCTACGGAACAACTACATTCTAGTGTCTGTGAAGGCCAAGATCCACGAAGCGGTGTTTACCAACGAGGAAAACGGTGAGGCGTTTACATTCGCCTGGGAGAACGATGCGGACGGACGTCCAACTGTCGGCAACGGAAGTGACCACCTGCCGGTCATTATTGGTATGACTACCAAAACCTTGCTTAAGCGCGTTGACCGCGACCCTGGCTCCTTTATTTTTCATCTCGATGCCACATACAAGCTTTGTCAAGTGGCTTACCCCGTACTGGTTGTCGGGATCTCGGACAAAATGAGAAGCTTCCACCTCGTCGCCATTCTCATCATGCCGCAGCAGATGCAGTTGCATCATGCTAGAGCTCTGACCGCTCTTCGCAATGTCTACTTGGCGGTCATGCACAAGCCGCTTGTAGTTCGGTATGTGATGTTGGATGCCGACAAAGCGCAACGCAACGGTGTGGACGAAGTATTCGGACGTGATTGCTCGATAGTGCATCTCATGTGCTGGTTCCATGTTGCTAAAAAAAAAAAGGTCTATGAAAAAGCTAAGAACCTCGAGGCTAGTCTTTTCGCTAAGATTCTTCACGACGTTCACGATCTCCACTTCACTACCAGCGACCATGAGTATGAGGAGACAAAGTCGAGGGTGCTTGCCGATTGGGCTTCCTGGCCGGAGTTAGCCAGATTCATGGCTTACTTTACGGAAACGTGGCTTGCAAGTCGCTTCTCGCAGTGGCAAGTGTACCACAGCCCCTCCGGTATTGCCACCACCAACAATCCGGTGGAGCAGTATAACGCCGTTCTCAAGCGTGACGTCACTCCCCACCGCAAGCTCAAAATGGGGGTGCTGTTGGGTCGTTTGCTGGACTGGTGCCGTCTTGAGAGCGCTCGGGCAGCACCATTCGCAACAGCAACCGTAGCCGACGCTCGCCTTCACCGCCGTGCTCGGGAAATGGAGCGTACAGGCCTTCTGTCTGAGCTCGTCGTGAGTAGACACAGTGTTGCGTTCATGCTTGGAGAAACACCAGACGAGGTGATGTCTCAAGACGTAGTGTACGTTCGCTCTCTCCCAGCCAATCGCTCTTACAATGAAGACCTACGCCGCCGGCATGAGGACCTTCCTGTCTCAGCACAGCTCGGCCAAAACACTGCACGCATGAAAAAGATTGGATGCCATCGACAGGCTGGAAGGTCGACATTCGCTTGATGGCATGCCCGTGCCGCTTCTTCGTGAAATTTGCGTACTGTACGCACAATGTATTTGCTCAGAACGCACGTGGTCACATCGACCTGTTCGGCCGCGAGCGATTTGTTTATCGCGGCATTACTAAGAAACGTAGGTCGTCAACGCCCTGGTCGCCCGACGTCAAATGGACACGCACTCTCTGTCAACTAGGCAGCACACACTACAGTAAATCCCATGTTAGTACAAATAATATAGATCACTCCCATTTGCTACGCTTACCATCGATAACGTAGCGCTGCTCTGTGACCTGGATCAGTTGATCACCAAGCAACATAGTCTTGGGCAAGGCTGTTGAACGTGAGAGTCCCTATTTGCTGCAAGTACCAGCGCCGTAGCAGCCTCGAACCCCTACATCAATCTGTACATCCTGAACGGTACTCCCTCTGTCGACTTGTCGGCGCGAGTATCAATCGGGCAGCATTTTTTGCCGCCCTTCCGGGTATTTTTGCACACACCAGGAGAGAACTTGGCCGACACCTGATGACTGGAGTGTCTCTCCAACGTTCTTACGCAGCTAATGAGCTCTTTCAGCGCTCTCTTGAGCCTCTTGGGGGGACGTGAGCGCCGGAGGAACGCCGTCCGAGCGCGGCGCCACGGGTCGGCGTCTGTGGAGACAGGATTTTATTGTGTGTGCACCAGAGGCTGCAAAAGGTTACCCGTACTCGTGAGCAAACCGTTTAACCGCACCCACGGGTTGCCGCGGGCAACCGAAGGCAGAAGTAGTTGCGCGTCGGGCAGTTACGGGCAACCTAATTTCGACAGCGGTCGGTTGCGAATGTCCGAGCTATTAGACAAGCTATTTTTTTTCTTTGCTATCACTCTAACTTCATTTCCACCACTCTAGCATCTGCAGCTCAAGACATGGACGCTTTCGTATTCCGGACCGGTCGTGATGACGAGAGTGCAGCCACTACCAACCGTGACGACCTTTCAAGCTACAGAGTAAAACAACTACAAAAAATTAGATCCCAAAAAGATTTGTCATCGATCAAGACTGCTATCAAGCGTGAGTTAATGCAAAATGAGTCCAAGCCGGACAAAATCGTGCTTTCACTTCTCTCTGAGACGTCAACTGGCACATCAAAGTGCTGGGATTATTTCTCTCATGTCGTGGAGAAGTCAACTGGTGTGCACTTTTCCGTTGGAAAATCTACTTTTGTTGCATGCAGAGCGTGTTATCAGATATTCACTTTCTCTAGAGGAAATGGTACGTCTACGTTGAATAATCACACCAAATCATGCTCCATTCGGGAAGCAAACGCTCAAGCGGGTTCAATGAGTTCTTTGTGATACCAATGGCTGCTTCAACGAAGGACAAGCAGAAGGTTTCCCAGGACATTGCCAAGATGTGCTGTCTTGACCTGCGGCCATTTTCACTTTGCGAAGGACGAGGTTTCCGGTATCTTGCTAGTGTTCTGATAGATATTGGTGTACAGATGAAGGCCCCAGTTGATCTTGATCATTTGTTGCCTGTTGGGAACACAATAAAAAAAGTATGTGATCGATACAGCTTCTTCAACCCGAGAACAAGTAGCACGTATGCTGACATTACACTTCAAGAACAACATTGGTGCGGGTTTTACTACTGATCTGTGGACTGATACGACAAGGAAGATGTATTTTCTCTCGGTAACGGTTCATTTTATTGATGAATGCTTTCGTCTACATTCTCGTGTGTTACAAGTCAAGCCACTTGATGTAGAGTCTCACACTGCAATTTTCGTTTTGGAAGCGTTCACCGAGTGCTTGAGGCGCTTCTGCATCGGTGATGATGATCTATGCACCGTCGTCAGTGATAGTGGGTCCAATATGTGCTGTGATGACGGATTACCATCAAGGTATGCGTGGTTAGCATGCTCGGACCACAAGATAGCAACTATGATAACAACCGTGCTAAGCAAGACCACAAAACGAGTGTCTGGAGTGCAGTTGCCGAACTTCTACAAGTACCGTGACAATGCCCCAAAAGTATTTTACCTGATCGATGCATGCAAAGAGCTCGTGGCCTATGTAAAGCGGTCAAATATGCAGAAAGAACTACCAACGACACTCAAACAGGAGAATACTACGCGGTGGAATTCACTTCTACGTATGCTGGTCAGTGTGCTGGATAACTATGACGATTTGGGACCCATGCTAACAGCGCGAGACAGATTCTCCTATCTGAAACGCATCGATCGAGCTCTTATAGAAGAGCTGGTGCTGTTTTTACAGCCTTTCCAGACTGCTACACTCTCCTTAGAGTGCTGGAAAAAACCAACTTCGCATCTCGTTGTGTATGCTAAACACAAACTACAACGCCATCTGACACCTGTACACGCGCTTCAGCATGGTGATCGACTGCGTGGAGATACGGATGAGGCTGTTAAATACGATTCACCATATCTTACCGGATTGAAGCAGCTAATTTCCGATCATGGGATGCCCAAATGGAGCTTGGACACTGTACATTATGTGGCTGCACTGCTCGACCCTCGTAGAAAGCACAAACTACACAAATATGGAGTAGATGAACACAAACTTACTATGGCGAGAAGGACTATCTTATCAAATATGCGGAAGATTATGGATAAACTGCCAAAAAAGAAGCTGAAGCCCAATCATGAATCCTCACTTAACGACATTTCTGATGATTCAGATGATGACGACGAAAGTAAGTGCGACTATCAGCGTGAGTCACCTGAATACATGGAGATAAACCGTTATTATGGGCTGAGACTAAGTCATACAGAGCTACTGGATTTTGATCTACTTAAATGGTGGCACAAGGTGACTTACACTTCTTCCGATGGTGATTTAGCACCCTTTCCAATACTCGGGCTTGTTGCGCGTTCGGTTCTGTGTATTCCAGCGTCAAGCGCTATGTCCGAAAGCAACTTTTCTGACGCCGGGAATGCATTTGGAAAGAAGAGGACAACTTTAAACCCGTACGTCCTCGACGATATCCTGGTTGCGCGATCCAGTATCGATACTCTGTGACTAGATTGCGGCCAACCGAAGTTTTCCGGCGGGTGGGTATGGGCATCCTCTGTTTCGAATCGGTTGGACACGGACATCCTCTTCGTGTGTCTAATACTTACGGGTGGGTACGGCCGCCCGACCTGTAATGTTTGCAACCTCCGGTATGCACCACACTTCATGTCTGTCTGCTGGTACATAAAGACTGTGGCAAAAAATGTTGCCTCGATACAAAATAATCTGCGCCTGGTTTCATGACGCTGCGTTGGTCTATGTTCTGTGTGCTGGTAGTGTGTAATTGAGTGGCGAGCGCTAATTCTTTGAGTGTTTGTCGTATTTACTCCTACAGTAGTACACGAAGGACCGGTAATAAAATACTCCGTTTTTATAAAATATTAGTTTAGTCATGATAAATAAAAATGTTCTCTGGATATTTATATCCACCTTTACGGATGAAGGACTTTGGATCAGGTTTGGCAGGTAGACGACCAAAGCCACGGGCACTGGCAGGGTTCTCCATCTTTTCCTTCGAGTTTGGTCCCCTCGGATATCCTGTATCATATTATATTTGGTTACTTTTGTAATAACTCAATACCTTGAAATGATAAAAGAAGAGCTAAAGCGACGAAATGCTTTATAACCTTTTAAGATCCGATCCAAAAAATGGTGAATGTTGACCCAGTCGGACAAGAACGACATTCCCGCAACCTCACATATTGTAGGGGAGATCTACGGAGAAGGCAATGTTGCCTTGCTAAGGAGAGGCGGGAGTCGTAAGGGGTGTCGTTGTATAGCCAATTAGTGTGACGTCTATCTAGCACATATATAACCATGATGTGGGAGGGTTAGAAGGCTACTTTGCCTTGCTAGGGTGTGGTCATGGAATTTGCCATCGGTTCTGAAAAATATTTTAAAGCTGTACTCACATATCTGTGTGGTGGGGGAGGAGAGAGTATTAGCCGCTCGAAAATTTGACAAGTCGAGTAAAACATGAGTTTTGTGCGATTTTTACTATAATACTTCCATCGATAGCTTCCCCTCGGCCGAATACTACTCAAAATTTCGTCGAAGGCGCCACTCTGGTCTCTCATTCCCTTCGTGACCGTACTGCAATGCACATAGAGCGGAGATAATAAGTATATTATAGTTTTCCTGCTTGTTGGGGGCATTTCGCTTTAAACGGATGCCGGTATTAAGGATATAAGCTTCTGCCTCATCTCATGTATTACTTTTTCGCATAGCCAACAAGCACCTAGCTAGACTCCTCTAGTAGACTTCAAAAAAATAGTTCTTAGAAAGCACATTTTTAATGTTGCTTTTTTATCATTTTTTTTATTTTAACGCAAAAAATATCCAGAGCTTCCCGGGCAACGCACGGCATTAGTGGGTACAAATATGTATAACAAATATTTATTTATACAGGAAATACACACATGAGGATATAAATATCCGAGCAAGTTGAAGTACTAAAAAAAAACAGTTGTTGCTGTTCGAGACTAGAGTGTGTCAATATCGGCAATGGCCATGGAGCCGCTCCCACCGACGTCGGCGGAGGGCTTGGACCACCAGCAGCAACAGCGGCAATTACAGTATTTTATGGACCGTGGTCGAGTGCCGCCACTCAAGCGCAATCCAGATCGAGTCACCAACGACGTGACCGATATCCGCGGCACAAGACCACTGCTCAAGAATCACATGTACGTCAACAAGCCGCACTTCTACGATGCCCACGACATCAAGGGCTCCACAAGCATGGAGCTGCACCCGAAGAACTGGCGCGCAGGAAGCGAAGACCGATTCAAGCAGCTTCCAATCGAGGGCACCACCTCTCGACCGGCAGGTTTTCGAACGGAGCGTGTTGTAAATCCACTACAGCCAAACTACAAACTCCCGTCCTTCACGAAAGCGCCACCGGTGCGTTTCAGTACAGCATCCTCAAGTCGTGTGATACCTCACTTTGAACCTCTGTAGATTGAGCCAAAGTTTCTGCGGGACAGCTACAACGTGTCCGACATCGAAGGCACGTCGATTAAGGTTCGCGATATCCAACATCCTCGAGACGGCCTGAAGTTGGTAAGTAATATACACTCATGAAAAGTCCACGATTACGTACTGAAATCAATTGTAGGACGATATTGCAGGTGCTCAAGCAGGTTGGTTACCTCGTCATAAGCGAGGACTGCGTGAACACCCACCACGGGACATTCTGAACGTGCAGGACATCACCAACGTAGACTTCAAATCCAGTCGAGTCACGTGAGTACTAATTAGTTGTTTTGCTATCCGTCAGCAGCTTACGAGTCTGTTATTCCGCTGTTCTTTTGCTAGAAACGTATTAAACCCCGTTTACACTGTCAACGGCATGACCGTGAGCGATGACCCGCTGTCCCAGCCACTAAAACAACATCCCAAGCGAGATAAACCTAGCTACGCGTTGAAGACAGACGATATCGAAGGTGCAAGCTGCACAGACCCTGCCACTGCAGTCGTGGCAGGCATCGTCATGGCACATAGACGCAACTACCGGGACACTAACATCACCTCCGACATTTCGGGTGCCAAGGCAGACACACTGGTGCACAGTATCCGATCTACACGACGTGTTGATCCCAACGCGCCGCAGTATTCAGCACTGGACGGGTCGCGTGTGGACTCTAGTGCAATTTCCGTTGGCAAATCCATCGTTTTTGCTGATCTTGTGCATGAACACGAAGAGCTCGAGGCTGCTTACAAGCGTAAACATACTGAGGTCAAGCCGTATGTTGTCAGTGGCGTCGGCAACGTTGGTCTTGTGGGCTCAGCTAACAGAAACCGAGAGAAGAGACCTCCAAGCTCGAAGCAAACCAACGAGAAACCTCCTAGCACTGCACCTGTAAACGCCGCAAAGACGAAGACGGATCTGACTCCTACTATCACAGGTGGTACCAAGACCTCTACTCAGGCTTTAAAGCCTTCGTCAGCACCTGGACGAGCGAATACTGGGAGGACTCGAAACGAGTGGAAGCAGGAAGAAGCGAGACGAGAGGAGATCCAGCTAGTTCGCGAGCTCAGCTAAGACACTGCAAATACATTAATCCGCATTGAGAGTCACCCTTGTGCATGCTGTTAGTCATACCATGAGCAGGGTGCAGGAAGAAGAGAAGCTAGATTTGAGCAGAAAAGCACCATTACCTTAAGCTACAATACCGTTTGCTTGCTCTTTTGTGTCTGGATGTGCGGCCTAGGTGAGGTCGAACTCGTCGTACATAGGAGCGACCGGTTTAGACGCAGGTTTGGACGCCGGTGTCTCTTCTTTCGGAGGTGCGGCAGCCGCCTCGAACGAGTCCGAATAACCAGCACCCGCCGATTCGTTCGGGGTCATGGAGAACTCAAGCGAGTCTGAGTCTGGCATGGCGAACTCGAGGTCGTCCTCGTAGTCCATGCGAACGCTAGCACGCGCCGCTGCGGGCGGCGGAGAATGCACCAAAGTAGGCGACAAAGAGGACGACTGCTTAGTGAGCGCAGCGGGTTTCTCGGTTATCTCCTGCTTGTGGGTCGAAGTTGGTTTCTTCTTGTCTTTAGAAACGTCGACTTCACCGAGAGCTTCAGCCAGCATTGCTTCGTAGTCGCTGTCCCGTACATCCGTACTCGACGTCGTCGGCACTTGAGAAGCTGAAACATCGTACTCGGAGTCCAGCGAAGGAGCTTGTACTGGGGCTGGCGCTCTTGCAGAGGGCGCGAATGGGTTACGCTGGGCTGGGGCTGCGCGTGCTGACGGTGCGAACGGGTTACGCTGTTTCGGTTGTTGGTGCTGAGGCAAGCCTCCTCCACGAGAAGGATCCGGTCTGTGTTGGCGCTGTGGCGGTGGTGGGGCGTCTCCAGATCCATATACCGATAATTTGCGGCAGATCCGTCCGATCTGGTTGTCCAGCGCCATGAAGCCGGGCTTTCGTACAGTGGCCTGGAGGAGCTCTTCGTTGCCCATCTTGAACGCGCGAACGAGGTCCTCGGCCAATGCACAGTCGTCTGAAGACAAGAACGAGTCGTCCTGCAAGCAACGCGAGTACAAGGCATCAGCTGCAGGCACGTCGCCCGATGCCAACATCAAGATCACTTGGCTCAGGTGCATTTTGTGCACATTGTGGCGCTGGTCCATGGCCTCATACAGCGTCACCAAGCGGTCCAGTAGCTTCATAGCCTCACCGTATTTACCATACTTCACCAAGAAGCTCAGTGTCTTGCGGAACGTTTCGACCGCGAAGTGGGGCTTGTCCTGTGCCTCTAACAGGTCGCACGCGCGCCAATACAGGGGCAGTACGTCGTCCGCACTGGAGCCATAGCTTTCGCAGGCCTGTGCACCTTTAACCAGTGCGTCCGCAGCCTTGCCGAACTCGCCCATATCCACATACAGGCCGCTAGCCGTCTCGTAAGCCTTGCGTGCCTCGGCCGTGTGCTGCTGTGCAGTGTGTGCACCGGATCGCTCTGCTTTAAGCTGCTGCAGCGCTGTCTTGGCTACATTTTCCCACGCTTGTGCAGCTCGGAATGGTGACTGGTTGTGCTCCTGGGCTTCGGCGCAGCGCGCGAAGGCTTGTTTGCTGGATTCGAAGTCGCCTCCGAGGCGGAAAAGTTCGCCGGCTTTGTCGAGCAGCGGCGCTGCTGTTAAGTAGTCCGGTGAGCCGCGGAAGAAGGAACGCTTAGCTAGCGCCTTTTCCGCTTGCTTGAGCTGCGCCACCGCCTCCGCGCACTTGTGCTGCTGCAGCGACGACATGAGGGAGGACACGTCAGATGATGTCGAGTTGTAGCTGTGCAGGAAGGGTGTTGTTGAAGCGGGGTGTCGTTGAAGCGGGGTAGACACTTTTTGTACATTTAACATTCAAATATGTGGCAGTAGCCACCGCTCTTCACGACCGACCGACCAACGACCGACTTGGCAAAATTAAACCTTATCCCAGTACTTTTCCAAATAAGGCAGTACATTATAGTCAAGAAAAATATGGAAGAGCTCCTTGTTCATGGCAATGGCATGCCGCATGCCCATTATTATTATTTGTCGTTGCTTCTCGTGATGTGAATAACTTTAGTTTCGATTGCCCACCACAGCCTGACGAGAGTCACTACAAAAGCAGCGAAATTCTTCTAGCGGTCGACAACTGTTGTCTTCTTCGTGGTTGGCGATATTGCGACACCGTTTGTTTGTATCAAGTGCTTCGCAGTCTTGCGTTGCTCCATACGAAAATATGCGTTAGTTTTAGACGTTATGTAAGCGCATACATGTGATGTGGGTTGCAGTAGCGCTCTTAACGAAATGGATCTGTCATTGCGAATACGTACAGTAGAAGCCAACAGTTTTTTCTGTTTGTTTTGTTTCCAATGAAAAACGCAGAAGCCATGGATAGGTGTGTCCGCAGATGCCTTCGTTGTCTCTCGTTGGCAATATTTGGACATCCAAAATGAGACCATGCATGCTAATACCAAAAAATATAAGCGTTGTAGCATGTAAGTTGTTTTTCGCCGCGCGAAGTGGCGTGGTGTCAACGAGACTGCGAAGCCAAAATAGAGACAGTAAAGCCCAAATACCTTCGAAATACATGTAGTGCTTCGGCAGGTAGGTAGGTAGAGAGAAGGTAGTCGAATTAGCTTTTAGTTAGCTTCGGCAGGTAGCCAGCCACGTGTTCATCTTCTTGTTGTTAAACCAAACGGTTGATTGTGGCGAAGTTAAATTTCGTCCAGGCCAAATTGAAGTGTTAGTCTAAACATTTCGAACCCCATTTTGTTTAGACGAGCTCTTCAATGCAGATGGCCAGCGTGGAGCACGCTGAGTCCCCGCCAAAGAAGATCGCCAAAACCGGTGGATATTGATGCCTGTCCAATGGGCAGTGTCCATCATCCGGAGCGAGACAGTCGAAAACCCATCGTGGGAGTTCATGAAAGCATCACCTTGTGGGGGCTGAAAAGCTGAAACTGAAGCAGTAACAGCCAAATGGACATCTAAACATACAGATTACAGGACCAATCCGTTATCGTACATCTCCATTTTAGAGGGGTGGCATAATGAATGAAAAAAAAGTTATTATAAATAACCAACCTCGCGACTACCGTGCATGCCATCGATTAATGCTCAAATATCGGTCACTTCCACTTGACGGCGTCGAGAAGACCCATTTTTTCAGCCTTCGTTCGCAATCCGGAGAAACGCAGAGCAACCAGCGCCCAAGCACGGTGCAACGCCTGTGTCAAGGGACCAGGACCAAAATTGCTTGTTGTGATGCAGTTTGTACCGGTGCACTGCATCCTAACATCCCGATGAGGCCCCTTCTCATGTCATTCACCGGAAGGTTTTTGCACGTCGTGATATCCGTATACTTGTACCGTATCCAGAGCAACACCGCTTGATTCAAGCCTGAAGTTTTTTTTTTTCGTTGGCCGTGCTGCGTGCACAGACAAGGGATCAGCCAAGGCAAATGCGTCCAACTCGCTCGTTTGCTGCATGCAGCAGCGTACTGACCACCTAGCTCTTGCTCACTTTGAAATTGGCTGCCAACCTCGCAAACAGCACTCGACACCATGGCCAAGCAACCGTTTTTCACGTTCGAGGACGCCAAGTTCTCCTTCAGTCTCTTTTGCTGCATGTGCGGCGTTGGCACGTTGAGTATGCCCGCTAATTTCGCTCGTGCTGGTCCCGTTTTGGGCTTTCTGGCGACTGTTTTTATGGCGGCCGCAAACATTTACGCGTCGGTCGCCATGTCCAAGGTGCTTCTGCTCGCCCCCAACTCCGTCAACACCTTCAGCGATCTCGGTGAATGGTGCATGGGAAAGACCGGTCGCTGGCTGTGCGTCGTCTCACAGATGGGCTCCTGTTTACTTATGCCGTGTGTGTTCCTGGTGCTCGGCGGTGGTCTGCTCGATGGTCTGTTCCCGGACGCCTGGGACACCACGACGTGGATCATTCTCATGACCATCACTGTGCTCCCGCTTGCTCTGGTCCCTACGCTGAAGGAAGGTGCTGGCGCGGCTTTTGCTGGCTGCATGGGAACGCTGATCGCCGATGCTCTGGGCATTGCAATCGTGGCTCACGGTATGCGCGACCATCCGTCCGTGCCTTCACCCGAGCTGAGTTTGTCCCAGGTCACCGGTGCATTCGGCAGTCTTGCCATGGGCTTCGGTGCCGGCATTGTCCTGTCGGATGTGCAACGTCAACACAGCGACCCGAGCCGCATGCCCCGCGTTGTCACCGTCACCATGCTCTTCATCATGTGCATGCTGCTGATTCTCGGCTTCGTGCCGTACTTCTCGGTCGGCTGCCAGGTCTCGGGCAACCTGCTGTACGTAATCTACCCGGACGCTGCCACCGGTCTCACCACTCTGGGCTTCGCTCCTAAATGGGGTACCGTCGTGTTGGCGTACCTGGCCATGCAGATGCACGTTACCATTGCCTTCTCTGTACTGATTAACCCGGCCTTCTACATCGCCGAGCGTCTGGTATTGGGTATGCACAAGAAGGTGGCGGAGGACATTGAGAACGGCACGGGATACCAGGAGTCCGGCACGCCTGTGGACCTGCAGAAGGATGTTAGCGTGACGTCCAGTCGACGTTCGCGGACGTCCGTGTTCCCTCTTACCGGTGAAGTCAACAACAACCACGAGCTGGAGGCTGCAGAGTACCGTGGCGCCAACGCGATCAAGTACATCGTGCTTCGTTTGGCTATTATCGTGGTTTTGGTGATTCTGTCCATTATCTTCAAGGACCACTTCTCGGACTTCGTCGACTTCGTGGGCGCGTCGGCTATCACGGCCAACTGCATTGTTCTGCCGACGGTCTTCTACCTCATCAAGACCTGGGAGCACGTCCCACTGTACGAGAAGTTTGGGGCTGGCGTCGTCATTGTGGTGTGCACCGTGCTCGGCTGCTACTCGACGTACACCGCCGGCAAGAACTTGTTTGCTCCGTCCGAATCGGACACGCTTTTCCCCTACTGCGATGCCGAGTTCCAGGATACTGTGTACTACAACCAAACGGCTTTGTCATCTTAAGTGTGAACACAACGTATATAACTGATAGCGGATCGCACTGGGTATGCTGTTCGCAACAGACAATAAATGCTACGTTATCTCGTCCAACTTGCTCATCTTCCATTTGTCATAAATGACTTTTACAAGTTATAAGGACTCGTTAGGATTTGAGATGGTGATGCTTCATCAGCAAAGGAGGCCAAAAACAACTGCACCGGCACGAGCCTCAGTGGTGCTGCGTCACATCCGTTCAATTACCCGGCCCTGGCGTGACAACCTCGTTATTTTTTTTCAACCTGTTCCTAAATGAACTCGTAAATGATCTTCTTATGACGAACGACAGGTCCGTTTGGTTCCCCTACCATCTTCCCGTCACCGTTGAGCGAATGGCGGCTCTAACTCGCAGTCTAACAGTGGTGATCTGGGCATTATTACTAACATGCTCGAGTTCTCGGAGCATTTGGTTCTCTAGTGTGCCTATCTAGAAACTAGAAACTATGGAGTCAGTATCCGAAAATTGAGCGACACCACAGAAATCCTCGCCTTTTGCGATTCGCTGAAGTTGAAGCCGAATCTGTGACGTGTGAAGATCCATTCGGGTCGGGTCTGGTTTGTGTGTACCACACAACCCACCCGTTTTGTCTCATTATTTGCCAGGCCCCACGCATTAGAACCGAGTCACCACTATCGGCGAGCACAGCATGAGTTACAACCGGCGAGGAGGCTTTGGCGGACGCAGTCGCGGGCGTGGCAACCGCGGAGGACGTGGAGGATACGGAGGTGGCCGCGGTGGTTTCGGCAGTGGCTCGTCCGTGGGCAACGAGGTGTGTCGGCGCTTCATGGACGGCGGCAAATGCGAGTTCGAACAGACTTCGGGCGGCCGGCCATGCCGCTATCCTCACTTCGTCAAGACTATCGGCGAGACACGCGGCCACAACGGATCCATCAAAGACGTGGTTATGTGGGCTGAGCGTCAGCAGCTCTTCACGTGTGCAGCGGACGCCAGCATCAAGCTCTGGGACTGTGCCACCTGGCAAGAAGTCACCACTATCAGTGTGCAGGACGCGCTCCCACCCGCTACAGCGAACGGTGGTAACGGCGGAGGCAGAGGAGGCAACAGAGACAAGACGCCGCATACTGAGGGCGTCGTGGCGCTTGTACTGTGCGGTCCTTTCCTGTTCGCTGGATTCGAAGGCCGCTTCCCACCCAACCCCAAGGTGTCGGTGGGTATGGTGCGAGGATGGAACTTGGAGAATGCACAGGCGCCACCCTTTGAATTCCCAGCATCCGACGTTATGCCCTTCGCACATACAATGAATGTCCAAGCTCTGGCTGTAGCGACCGACTCGACGGGCAATGCCACCCTCTTCAGCGGCAGTGCGGACGGATCCATCCGATACTGGCAGATGGATACAGCCACCAACCAGTTCAAGTGTCGCGGTGTCATGGAAGGACACGTGCGCGGAGTGACGCGCCTCAAGACGTTTGCAGTGGGCGGTGCACCCATTTTGGCCTCAGCTAGTGTGGACTCAACAATTCGACTCTGGGACTTGGCTACATACCAGTGCGTCAAGGTGCTCTCGGCCGAAGAAAATGGCCACACGGACGCCGTCATGGACCTCGAGTTCTGGGTGAACGGTAATGAGACGTTCCTCATCAGTGGCGGACTTGACTGTGAGATTATCGTGTGGAGTCTCACTCCTCCCTTCCAGCAGCTTTTCAAGGAGACGCAGGACTCGCAGGTCACTGCACTTTGCGGTACACAAGACGCCGCACAAGCTCCGATTCTTCTCATCGGCATGGCGGTACGCTACTCTATAGATGTCGTTGTGTGTGTATACTCACCTGTTTGTTGCTGCCTCCAGGACGGCACCATTTCAGTCAAGGAACTGCCTTCATTCGCGTACAAGACAACACTAGGCGCCAATCTCAACCAAGGGCATCAGGACGCTGTGCGACGTATCACCACTGGGCCGAGCAACACGTTCTTCTCCACTGGCAATGACAGGAAGATGATTGCTTGGCAGATCACAGGCGACGCCGCCTCTATCCAGTCCAAATAAAGCGATCAAGTTTTGATCCTGTAGCATGAACGTCGCTGTGTAAAACACCGAGTTCTCCCCCCAACTTTGAAGCAGTAACAGCATTAAAAACACGGTCAACAGCTTGCGTTGAGGGCGAAAAGTTCAAACGCTCTACAAAAGATAATCTAGGCTTTAAAGTAAGTAGATGCTGCTGACACTTCACCATTTTAACTGTGAAATACGCGAGAGATAGCAACCGATTCTCCTTACACGTTGCTAATACCGTTTTGGACCTCAACTCCAAGTGCTGTTGAGTTCAAGCGAGTCTTCTCATCTTCATGATCAGGCATGGACAATAGAACCTGTTGCGCCACCAAACTTCCAGCTGATCGTTGCACTGGTTGGTGATCAACAACGCCCTCAACCCCTGAGGCTGTAGTCTGGCCAGACAACGCAACACCATCAGTTACAATACCGAGTTCCTTGCGCACGCGTTGGAGCCAAGTGGCCGCTTTTTGATAGGAACGGTTGAGCGTGTAGGCCTCCTCAAAGCACGTCGCAGCCAGCTCGAGCTGCTTCTTACTGTAATGACAAAGCCCCATGTTGTGACTTGTGACGTGGTGCTTGCCCATTTCTTGTGCGGACAGAGTGTAGTAGGCCAATGCGCTGTCGTACTCGTGCAATCCGTAGTAGAGACGACCGATTTCAAAGGCGACATCCTTCTCCTTGTCTAGCGCGTAGTAGTTCTTCCAGACCATCGGGATTCCGTACACCACGTCCTGTTTGAGTTTGGGAGCGGCAGCCGGTGACTGGTCCAACAGAACGTCGCGGAACTTATAAAACACGTCCGGATCCCACCCGCTCAGCTTCATCAGCGCTAGTACAGCCTTAAGTGACGGCGTCTTGGCATCTTCCTTGGTGGATTTCTGCATCACGAAGAAGTCGTTGGGTCCAAACGACACGATTTCATCGTTAAATGCGGTTGTTAAGTGCGGGAACTGGCGGCTGCGCTTCTCACTCGTTTTATCCAGTCCGTCGCCGTACAGCCCCGTCATCGCAGAGCTATGCGCTTCACTTTCTCTAGCAGCGTTTGCTGGCAACACAAAAGCTGACACCTTGAGGCTGGCTTCTTCCTGTGGACTGTGCAATGCAAACCCACCGCGACTGGCAAAATACACGCCAATAGCGTGGTAGTTGACCATGACAGAGAAACTGCCGTGTACGGCGATATGCGGGTCGCTGACTCCTCGGAAATGGTCGGGATTGTTGTTGCCCTTGTCACCTGATAGCGCCACGAGTCCGTTCTTCGACAATGCTGCTAGACGCTCAATGGCCGATAAAGCTCCGATAGGCACCAGGATCGTAGCACCAGTAGACGCTGGATCAAAGTACTCGTGATACCACTTCAATATGTTGTTGCAGTGAGGTCTGGTTTCTCCATAATACGCTTCGTCGATCTGATCGTACTTGAAAATGTTGTTCAAGCGCTTGATAATTTCCGGATCGAGTGGATCGGGCTCCTCTGCACGCTTGGAGCCAACACTGACAAGACCTTCTTTTAATATTCCACGGTCCACTTGGAACAGGTCGTGGTATAGCGTATCGAAGAGGTAATTTGCAATCAAGCACAAGGGATTAATCAGGTCGTTGGGACGAATGACCTGACCAGACGAGTACAGACGCAACTCTGTGTCTGTGGTGGCGTCGAAGATGGCAAAGTCCACAATGCCGCGCTTGACAAACGGCGCCAGAGCTGGATGGGTCTTCCAGAAGTTGAAGTTCTGTTCCGTAAAGTCTGTCATGATGTAGCGGATGTTGCTCAACGGGAAGTCCAGCACGCTCTACAGACACCACAATAACATCAATCAACCCAGCATTTACTTAGAATAAAAAAGTATCTAAGCTCACCTCCATTTGAGCGAGTGCCTTGAGGAAATAGAAGCTGAATTTGCCCGATCCAGCGCCGAGTTCCACAATGTAAAACGGTTGTGAGGGGTCTACGGGCGACATCGATCCAGTTTTGAGAGCATCTCGGAAATAGGCGCTTAATACGTTACTGTAGCGCTTGGCGATGAAGGTGTTGGATGTGATGAAGTGCGGTACGATGCCCTGCGCCCAGGACTCGACACCTTGGCGGTCGTAGAAAGACATCATCAGTTTCCAGAGATGACAACGCGCGAAGGGCGTGAAGTCCTCGAGCTGGCAGCGCGGCGTCGTCTGCATCTCCAGCTCGCGCACTTCGTCGGCTTTAGGAGCAGACGGAGCGGGCGGAGGCGTCGTGGTGGTCTCCCCGTCGCTGCTGTCGCTGGTTACAGGCGTGGGCGACTTGGTTACGTGTACCCCCACGCCAACATCGTCGTCCGGGACGGTGTGTATACCTGGTCGCACAGCCTCTGGACTGAGGGGGTGAGCGTCTACAGGCAGCGGCATTGAGAGCAAGAGATCGGAGATGCGCTGATGACGGCGAATTGCAGAATGCTATGGCATTCCTGTACAGGCGCGGCGGTTTCTATGGTTGAAGGTGCGAGAACAGAAATGTGACAGATCCCGTTATAGCTGGTATTACAGGGAAATAGCCACATCAACATCAAGACTTAAAGATTATAATATCGTCTGTAATTAGTTGTTGAAGAGAATATTTTATATTAGCAAAAGTATTATTTATTGAGGTATGAAACGGATGTAACCAGGATACACTGCGTAACCAAGCGAAGTGCTGGCAACTTGAGCTGCCAAGAAGTGATGGTGTGGTTTATCTAGTAATAGCAACATGTATTGGCGTCTTATCCAGGGTTCAATTCCAGTCGAGAGTTTGTTTCCTTTTTCAGCGCAGCCGTCTATCAAGACGAGGTGACAATGGAGAAGTTCCGTATGCGTCTTGCAATAAATACACAAACATGGGATTGGACTTTGACGTCTCAATATCTCTACCAAATGCTGGATTCAGCGTGTAAAGTGGCTGAAGAACATGCAAGGTTCAAGCCGAGGCTGACTAGCAACTTGCAGGAACCAAAGCGAGCCACGCGGATATCACTTCAACTTGGTCGACCATCAATATCATTGGTCAAAATATACCCCCACGCACAAAGCCATGCGCAAAGGTTTACCCACAAACTTAGCGTCTCCACGATGACAACAGCCCGCATTCTACCCTCCAGATCAGTGCTCTGCCATGTTCACCCAGCCGGCGCTCGCCAGCAGCGCCTTCGCTGGCTTCTCCGACGAGCTAATCGCGTACTTCACGCTATTCTGCGAGCCGAAAGAGCTGCTGCGACTCTCCGAAGTGAATTCCGGTGCGTTACTCTCTGCGTTGCCTGCACCCGCTAACCTGATTGCCCTGCAGTATTCTATGTATTCTGTCAGGAGGATCCACTCTGGATGGGCCAGTGTCTGCGTCTACACAATGGGGACTTCTCCTACCATTACAACTGGAAGCTCACGACCTTCTACCCACGAGACCCAAGGCCACTGGAACAGCTACACAAGGCTTTCCGCCCTGTGACCGTGAAAGACTTCGGCTCGGACTTTCTGTACCGTCGCTGGTGTCGCTGCAATATGCAGCTAGGTGACGCATATTTGCTGCCCAGTGAGGAGCAGGACCCAACGATCCGGAGGCTACAGAAGATCGACATCCAAGACTTGACCTTCCGAGACTTCTACGAGTACGTTACTGGACTCTATTACTGCAGTAAATTGCTGGTTATTAACTCTATTTGTGCTGTTAGGCAATACTCGAGCATCCCGTTCATTATTCGCAACGCTATTGGCAAGTGGAAGGCGTCAACGGAGGTAATTAGAGTATGGTATTAATGACGTATTTACCGTTATCTGACGCGTTTATTGCAGTGGACGGTGGAGAAATTGGTTGAGAGAATTCCAAGCGACGTGAAGCACCGCATTACACACAACCTGGACGTCATGTCAAGCAGTCCGACGATGGAAATGAGTTTTGCCGACTTCTTCAACTACGCAAACAACCAGCATGATGAGACACCGTTGTACATTTTTGATGCTCGTTTTGGCGAAAAGGTGCCTGCTATGCTGGAAGATTACAACGTTCAGGACTTGAAGGTGTTCAAGGAAGACTTTCTGAGCGTTGTGGCTGAAAGAAAGGAGGAGCCAGCTAAGGCGGTGAAACTGGAAGCTGGAGGTAAAAAGGTGAGGAAGGACAAGAAGAAGAAACGCGCTCCAGGGTCTACAAGACCAGATTTCCGTTGGATCGTCATTGGACCTCAACGTACCGGAGCTCCGTGGCATCAGGATCCAGCTAGAACTTCTGCCTGGAATTCTCTAGTAAAGGGACGGAAGAGATGGGCGATTTATCCTCCAGATTCACCACCACCAGGTGTCAACGTCGGCAAGAACGGCGAGTATCAGAGCAGTGGCTTGGACATGCCTTCTCTCATGTGGTATCTGCACGTGTACCCCACACTCACTCCGGATCAGAAGCCGCTTGAGATCATTCAAGAAGAGGGAGAAACGATCTACGTCCCCAATGGCTGGTGGCATCTCGTTCTGAACTTGGATCTCACGATCGCAGTGACGCAGAACTTCGTGGATTCCCACAACGTGCTCATGTTTATGAAGGACTTGCTTAACGACGGACAAGACGAAGCTCTGGCGATGTTCCAACATGAATTGAAAGCCACTCGCCCGGAAACATTTGACATGTTCCGTCTGGTTCAGATCCCACGAGTGAATGGATACTTAAGCGAGGAAATGTTCCACCAAACATTCCGCGTTTTGGAGTACTGGAAGCCTCAATTGAAGAAAATTCTCGAGCGCCACAAGCTACTGACTCTGCCAACTAGCACAGAAAACAGCGTTGCTGCTAAGTTCACCGCGAAAGTCAAGTATCCGAAGATGAAGAGCCTGACGTCGCGTGTGAACCCGACATTTGCAGTGGGGAAGCGCTTGATTGTGAAGTTCTTCAGCCAGTACAATGAGAACTGGGGTGAGTTTGATTTCGAGGCGTACATGGCTCCAAAATACGACTCGGTCGACAGTGAGCTAGCGTGTCCTTTAAAGCGTCGTAAGAAGAGCGTCTTGCTACCGCATGAGCTGAAAAATGCCATGTCTTTACGCTATGCAATGGAGGATTGCTTCCGTACCGAAAGGGCTGTGTACCAGATGATCGAGAAGACAGCAGACTCACTCAACACGATGGTTCCTCGCTTGTATCACTCCGGGCATTTGTTGTATGTGGATGAAGTGGATGATGACGAGGGAGAAGGACCGATGTGGCGATGGCCATACGTTGTCATTGAATACAAGAGCAACGGTGTTGGTCTCGACTCGATGACTAGGAAAGGAGGAATTACGCTCAAGAGCTGGAAAAGTATAGCTCAATGGATCAGTCAAGATTTCTTGCCGAAGTTGCACGCTGTTCCTATTGACCCAGAGTTTCAAGGAGTGTTCGGTCACAGCAAGGCGGACTGGGATTGGTATATTCACTACCTGCTTCGCCAGCGAAAGCGTGCCGTGTCATGTAAGTTGGGGGGATTATATAGACTCTATGGAAATGGTGGAACTAACTATTAGCTGATGTTTGCGTTGCAGTCCACTTGATCGAGAGTGATCTTCCTGCTCATCTGATGAAGGGGCTAGAGAGTTTCCTGCCCGCTGCAACTCGAGACGCTATCGTGTCGGAGTTGCTACCCGTGAAGCCATTTGAGGTGAAGCCCGTGCTGCTTCATGGAGACTTGACAGACGAAAATATTCTCGGATCTGCAGTGGAATCAGGCGACGTGGTGATGCCAAGCGTAGAGAATGACTTAAATCTGCCGTCTTTCCTGAAGTCTATCGGGTGTGAAAAGTACATCCAGCTGCTTGTGGAGCAAGAAGAGCTGACATTGGAGTCACTGACTCTTCTGAATGAAGCTCATCTGAAGGATCTGGGTATACCTCTGGGACCTCGTCTCGCAATTTTGAAGGGAAGACAGCCGACTGTCACTCATGCTCGTATCATCGATAGCGAAGATGGAAGTGATAGCCGCTTCGATACCGAGGAGGAATGGGAGACCAGTAGCAGTGGTAGCAGCAGTTCTGAAGAGGAAGAGTGTGACTTCACAACCCCTACGGGGCTGGCAGCAATCGAAGCGAAGCGCAAGGAACGATTTGTTGGTCCACAAGAATGGCATCCGACTTCGGTGATCGACTTTGCAGACGCCAAAACGGGTGATCCTTTGTATGATCTCGTCGCTGTATTTTTTTCTGCTCTGGTAAGTGAAATCCCTTAGTTGATTTTGAGGTCCAGTGAATTAACTTGGTACTACGTATGTTGTGGTAATTTTGTTTACAGCACTGTGATCGCGAGCTGTGGAAGGAGTCGCTGGCATCAGCGTATTGGCAAGAGTACATTCGCCATGACAAGGCGAACAGCGCACCGCAGCGTCGTTGTCTGCGGGAGCGCTTCCTACAGCTAGTGCTGCTACATCCTAGCCGCTCGGTCAAGGGTCTGTTCCACTTCTTCCCACAAGCAACGAACTTTGCAAACTGGGAGGATCTTGCTCGTGGCATTTTCAACGACGTGTTTTAAGGTTGCTACGCTAACGACATGGTGGGCATGCCGTAACTAGACTAACAAATACAGTTTGGTTAGTGTTCGTTTAGATAATTGCTTTGTCGGTTGGTGGCGATTATGTAGCAGCATTGATTCGAGGAAGACTCGTAGCTATGATAGATAAGCTAGTGTCTCTGATACACATACAGCACCGCTCTGCAGTCGAAGGCTCAATGTGGTAGCACAACAACAGACGGACAGGCTAATGATAAAGTGCTACATGTATAACGGGGAGTGAAGCTGGGGGTAGTTCGCCTTCTAAGGATCTAATACGTGGGCTGCACCTGCTTCACGTCCTCGAGTAGCTCGTCGTAGGCTTCCTTCGCGTTGAAGCCAGCCTTGTTGGGAGTGATCAATATGCAGCTCGTGGGTCGCTTCGACAACGCTGACGCACCAAGGTCCACCTGTATAATAGCAATGAATATTAGCACTAAATCACTGCTAGTGCGGGTGTGTATTTTCACGTTTGGACGCACCTTAGAGGGGGTGAAGATGTAGGGAATGTCGTTCTCCTCGCAAAGGACGGGAATGTGCGAGATAACGTCGACCGGCGAGATGTCGCCAGCAATGATGCAAACGCCCTTCTCGCCCTTGCGAATGCCCTTGACAACCTCCTTAACGCCGCGCTTAATGCCCTTGACCTTAGTGGCTTTCTTGACCACCTTGTAGGCGCGCTTGGTCTGCTTCTTGGTGGCCAGCGGCTTAGCGATCACCGACACGTGCTTCACGCGCTCCTCGTAGTTGCTACTGCTGCTCTTCTTGCTGTTCTCCGTGTCGCTCATCGCTGTCGTCGGGATGCTCTAACAGGGAGGTGGTGACGTGCAAGCTCAAGTAAATTGCAGGCTGTATCGAAAGCTTTTCGCCCGAGCCAACCGTGTTGGATGTTGCTCCAAGCTGCAGTCACCTTCGGTCCACATGTTGAAAACTCCATTTTTCTAATATTAGCCAATCACGGACGTTCCAAGTACCGTCGATTTATGACCGCTGGTGTGGGGGCAGTACCCACGGAACTAAGACTTCATAGCAGCAGCAATGGGCTTCACGGGCATCGCCGTCGGCACCCTCATGGGCCTCTCTACCAAGCTCGGCAGCAACGTGCTGCAGAAGGTCCCGTACATGCGACGTACGTTTTAATATTATTTGTCGTGTTTTAACGAAGACACCAAAAGGTATCCCATAGCGTAGCTCTTCCTGGCCGAACTAACCTCCGTCGTGCAATCTGTTGCGTAGACCCGTGGGAGCACGTGCTATTCATGGGCGTGGGTGCTGGACTGGGCAGCTATCTGCAGAACAAGTACCACCGGGACCTGGAGGAGGTGGAGGAACTGCGACTTTACCTGGAGCGCCGCGAGGACGTGAACAAGAAGGCGTAAAGCGTTGTGGACTACCTCAGTAACGAATTGGCCAGAAGAAGAAAGCACAGATAAGAGATCGATGCTGAGCGCATGCCGCTCCATTTCGTCGTATGGCATGGAGTGTCTTAAGCAATTAGCGCCAGCAAGAATCGAATCCTGAAAAAAACAAGAAAAATGCAGAGTTTGTATCCGTATCCGTGTGCTGGTCTCCTATGCTTGTAGGCTCGCAGCGGTGCTGCTACATGTTGTTCTCCTGGGGTTGATGCTTTCTGTCACTGCGACCGCTGGACTCGAAAGGACGCGATCCTTGCTTCACTTTCCATTAGACGCCAAAAGCCAGCAAGTCAAAGCTCGAGACACAGCAGAATGGAGCTCGCATACCTGTATACCAAGCAACGCGAGAGCTTCGGCCGCTACTGCGACTTCCGCAATGTGGACGCCAAGGTGCTTGAGAGCATTCCGTGCACTGACGCACTGGAGAATGACTACGTACGACGAAGACCCATGGTAACCCGACTGGACACGACGCCGCACATGTCCGAGCACGAGGTGAACACAGAGAGATTGGTGACCAAGCACAGTAGTATGCGGCACGTGGAGGGTGGGTGGCCCAAGGATGTGGATCCGGCCGAACAGAGCGACGTGCAGCGGTTCCGCAAGAAAGCAGAGAAAGATGACGACTACAAACAAGCAGTCAAGTGTCTTGGACCAGTGGTGGACCGTGCGCTGAAGCAGAACAACACCATCAACATCTATCAGGACTACTTTGCACACATGGGTGAGGCCGCTACGACAGAACAACCCAGTGCAAAGGGTCTTGCAGTCTTTCGGGATCCCGAACCTGTCAAACGCACAGTCTCGCAGATCGACTGGCACCCCGAAAGTCCGCAGAAGATGGCAGCGTGTTACTGCATCCTCAACTTCCAGGATCCTAAGTTCGCATCGGCGCGACTTCCAGCCAACTCGTATATCTGGGATGTACTGAACCCGAATACACCGGAGACGACTCTGAAACCAGCTTCCCCGTTAGTTTGCATGCGCTACAACCCGAAGTCCGTCGATCAGCTCGTATCTGGGTCTTATAACGGACTCATCTCGTTCTTTGACCTCCGTAAATCCGGTGCCGCACCTGCAGAGACATCTATCATCGAGCACTCACACCACGACCCCGTGTACGACGTGTTCTGGATCTCAAGCAAGACTGGAAACCAGTGCTGCTCTGTCTCGACCGATGGCTGGATGCTTTGGTGGGATATCCGCCACCTTGCACAGCCTACACACAAGCTGCTTCTAACTGACAAAGACGGCCTTGCATTTGGCGGGTCGTCCATGGAGTACAACACGGAAGCTGGCCCTACCAAATACCTCGTTGGCACGGAACAGGGGGCAGTGCTTAGTGTAAATCTGAGGAATGCCAAGCAAAATAATGGCATCACTATGTATGATATCGGTGCGGGAAAACACCATGGAGCTGTATGTGCGATCCAGCGTAATCCCACGCACAACAAGTTTTTTCTTACCATTGGTGACTGGACTGCTCGCTTGTGGTGCGAGGATCTCAAGACCCCCATCATGAGCACCATCTACCACGATTCGTACGTAACTGCTGGCTGCTGGTCGCCTACACGCGCTGGAGTCTTCTTCGTCACTCGAATGGATGGCGTTGTGGACATTTGGGACTTCTTCTACCGTCAGAACGAGGTGGCGTACTCACACAAGGTCGGAGACGTGGCTCTCTCGTCTGTCAGTGTGCAAGGCAACGCAGGGTCCGGTGGCAAGCTCGTAGCTGTGGGAGACTGCAACGGCATGATCTCGCTCATGGAACTGTCGGACGGCCTCGCAGTCTCGCAGCCAAATGAGAAGGCCGCTATCAACGGCATGTTTGAGCGTGAGACGAAGAGAGAGAAGAATCTGGAGGCCAAGGAGAAAGAACTGCGCCGTAAGAAGGCTACAATGGAGGAGGGAGCGGCGGACGATCGCGGTGGCAGCCTCAAGGACGACAAGATGGAGGAGCTGCTGCGCACAGTGGACGCCAACTTCCTGGGCATGATCAAGGAGGCGGAGGACTCGGAGAACAAGAATATGGAGCACAAGGGCGGTGATGCGCTGGGCGGCAAGGGCGATGAAGACAACTAGCAATAGCGATCCATAGTGTTGAGTATAGCTGAGCCTTTTGACATGCAAGTTGAAGTAAGAGTGATGGTCACTTGGTTTCCCTTCCGTATCCGCATCACTTTGTATTTGGCTTCAGTATCGATAAGTGCAGCGAAAGAGCGCGGAACACCATGACCAAGGGACAACGGCGTGAGATGTCACCGGTCAACGTGAGTCGCGCAGTGTTGATAGGCAAAGGATTGTTTGAGCGTAACGTAGGCGTTCGCGTGTAGGAGAATGAGGACGGGTTGCTGTCGAGCGGAGACGGCGTGGCGACTGAAGGCGAAGAGGAAGAGGAGGAGATTCCCGTCCGTAGCTCCATAATGAAGGACCAGGAAGAGCACCAAAATTCTCAGTCAATCAGTGAAGAAGGCGAACAGCTGACGCCGTACGTTGCCAAGTGCTACGGGCACCTGGAGACGCTGAGGAAGCGAAAACGCGAGCAAGAGGAGCAAGTGGAGACACTCGTCGAAGGTGAAGAGACTTTGGGGTTGAACAACGAGAGTGGGGCTGATTTCGTTGGGCGCTGTCGTAGAAACCTTTGGGCAGATCGAAGCTATCATGCAGGAGATGATGCGAGGACTGCAGGAGCGCCACGCTGCGTCACACGCTCAGTTTGAAGCCACCGGCGACAAACTCATGCGGAGTCTACGCGCGCACAACCGGGTTCGTACAGATTCCGTTGCTGTCGTTAGTGCGCTCACTGACGTTATTGTGCAGATGGAGAAGAAACTCAAGATGATCGCGGCCATTCTGCTGCGCGAGGACGATGGGAAGCAGGAGGTTGAATAGGGAAGCAACTTCAACGATTTCCGAAATATTACATTAACTTTCCTCGATGGCTACACATCCATCCGAAATATCACGTTTACTTTATTGTACGTACAGACGCACCAATGGTGGACGAGGAGATGGCTATCACCACGGATGCGGTCAGTGCCTCAGACGCCGAGACACAAATGGAAGAAGGATATCACAGTGCAGGTAGAGCTGATGGCGCAACCGTCAATACATCGGACGGAAGCGAGGACCAAAGTTCATCAGCAGAAGTCGATGGAACGGATGGAGCGGGTGAAGCAGCACACAAAGGCAGCGCAGGCGTCCCGATGGATGATGACGGGGACGATTCAAGTGGCGCAGAGGATGCCGGTGATGCCCTGGTTGGCGCAAACCCGCTGGTCAAGAGCTTGGTGCCAACAACGAAGACCTTCGACCGACATGTCAAGATCTTGATACACAACAAAGACCACAACCTGTACTTTGATCAATGGAAGCGCAAGCTGAATCACAAGAGTACGGTAAAGCGACTACGCATGTCGTTCGAGGAGTTGTTGCCGAGGGTAAGTACCAATTCTAGGTACTTCCGATTGATACTGAGGGCAAATAATAACCCTTTATTTCGCTGTTGTTTCCAGTTGATGGGGGCTCGAGACTATGCAGGTGCGGCAAAAGTATTGGAGGTGATGTATCATCGATTCACGGTGACCCCAGCTTTGTGCATTGAGGTATGCTTTCGTTGTAGAGATATCTAAATCGACAAGAGGAGTCTTATATTCTTATTGTTTGTGGACGGTCAGGCAAGTCTTGAGATCTTACGCCGGCAACCAGACTACCGTAATGACTTGCTGAGCTACTACGAGGCTGCGTTGAACGTTGAGCGTATCGACGTAAGCACGCTACTACACCATCCTATTGAAATAATGATTGACTCATGGTTTATGTTGTTTGTGCAGAAATTATTGATTCTGAAAGAGATGTGGCTCTTTCACATCGTTCACGGGGAGTTTTACGAGGCCTACCATTTGTACCAAGACAAAATTGAACAGGTAAGTATTGTCTAATCTGCTACGGATGCTTTCAAAATACCTCACTGCTGTGCTTCACTTGGCTGTAGCTGGAGGAAGTTGAGAATGATGCGAGGTTACTCGCAAATTTTGGCATTTTATGCTACTGGCTCATGTTTATTGAGTCACAAGAGCTCCGTGATATGCTGAAGCGCGAAGACATGGAATATGAGGATGACGAAGACGAAGACATGAATGCCAGTGACGGCAATGGGGTTTACGCAAGCGAGAGTATCGAATCAGTGATCGAGTCCAATTACTTGTTCAAAACGCCCATTGGGGTTCACATCCTGTATCAGCAAGCTAGCAATGCGCTGAGGCGTGCAGTGGCATTGAGTCCGAACTCGGCTATGTTTGTGGAGTACTATGTCCAGCTCCTAGTACTGGTGGGGGACATTCAGCCAGCATGCGATTATCTAGAAGCTTTCTACCACATGAACCCTGAGGATCCGCATGGACCAAGAATGGTACGATGGCGTTACTGGCTTAGACTCTTCCTGGTAGCTCACGTGGTTTCCTCTTCAGCTTGCACGGTTTTTAGGATGCTACTATCTGGATTCGGTGGAAGCTCACGTCTCCGTGTTTACCAGGTATGCATTGCCGTTATTGCTCGAATTGCTCTCGCAGCTGACAACGACTATTTTGCTTGTAGATGGATGAAAGACGACCCTACTTGTAGCTATCCTCTGGAAAAGATGTTGGAATTGTCCAGCGCTGGAGCAGTGTCATCATTCGTTTTGACAAAGGTCCTCGTTGAGGCCCTTGACACCTGCGGCAGTGATTTGTATGTCGCGCAGAATCCAAATGTATCTTTGACGTTGTGGAGGAATCTGGCAGAGCTGCTGGCAGCAATGGATGAGGGCGAATTTTTACTGGATCAAGTCGGAGGAGGAGTGCCTGATCAGTCGAATCAAGTCACCCTTGCAGATGTGGGAGCACAGCATTCGTGGTGGAAACGAATTTATTTTGCCAGGCCAAACACAGTGCAAGAAGTCGTAGCAATGTCGAAACGGGACGGTACTTTCGTTGAAGTATCTATTTATCGAGCTGCTGTGGCAGATCGCCTTTTTCCTGGCCACCTCCCGATGACAGAGGCCCTGCGCTCTGCAATGGGTTCACCGGATGTGACATTCAGTCACGAACATGTTCGTTTGTTTAAAAGGTAAGAATGACGCGGAACTGTGCAGTACGCATGAAATGCACGTACTAACATTTATTGTCTTTGTGCAGCTTTTTCCCGTCTGCCTCAACAGCAACAGCGAGCACGGCGGTACACACATCATTCCATGCCATGCCGTTTACCCACGTAATTGTCGACGAAGAAAATACTCGAGATAATTTGCCACTGCCCGTTTTCAGAGGAAGCTCGGATACTGTGCACGTGATCGACCGGAAGTCAATTGTGGAAAGAGAGGCCACTGGCGAGAAGACTGAGCTAGTGGTAACTCGAGAAGGTGACATTGAAGACGTTGATGCACAATTTCTGGAAGAACTCCAAGAAGCACTGGAATTGGAAGTTAATCGCTCGACTACAAGTGATAAACCGTCCCCGAGAAAGCGCAAGGCGGATGCTATCTCCACGTCAATTCCTGTTTTCATGCCAGCGTTTATCGGAATGGTCGAAGAAGAGGTCTTCAATAATCCAGATGCCTCTCTGCCTCACATCTACTCGACGATACACCAGAAACTGCGTCGAACGGATATGCTGGTGCCTACATCGAAAGTTCTTGCCCTTTGTGTGGATTTCTTTCGGAGGCGTTTGAAGGATGGAGGCCCGTTGCTTCGATACGAGGAGTTCATTATCCCATTTATGCGTCGCCAAAGAGACAAGAGTACGTTCGAGATCACAAGGGACCTCGCAAAGAGAGCTATCGAGGAGATGAAGCGCGTGTGGCCCAACCCACCCCCGCATTTCCCTGATGAGAATCTTGTCCAAGAGACGATGCGCCGTAAAGTGCCGATGTTGTCACGCGAGCGGAGACTTCAGGTGATGGAGCTCAAGAAAACACTGCGACCAGTCCTCAAGGAGCTCGTGTACGTGGACGAAAAAGAGTTTGTAGATGTGATTTATTCAGTCTGCAAGGAGAATGGACTTCTCGGTGTATTGAACCGTTTCGACATCGCGCATACAGTACAGGTGATGCTACCGATGCATTACTTTCGAGTGCTTCAAAGAGTGCCGCCTTACTTACTGGACATTCTTACGTCACCAACATTTCGGATGGGCTGCAACACTGTGGAAGAGATCCTTGACAAGCTCAAGAAAATGAGGCATTCGCCGGTTAAAGAGGTCCAAACGCTCTTGTGGGTGGAGAAGTATGAGGCTCTCTATGGCCCCATCATCGGAGAAGAGGATGAAAATGGTAGTGGCAATAGCGGTGATACTGGTAGCGATAGTGACAGCCATGACAGTGACAAGGAGACGAAAGGCAACGACAGCGACTAGAGCACCGGCCACTAGCAGCATCACTCGATGAATTTATCGCGAGCTCGTGTCTATTTTGTCGGCGCTGATTTTTTGTTTGAATATCTCTCCGCGCCGCCGTTTATTCTGATGAGCTACGCACCACTGCTCATCAAGACCAGACGACTGTTTCTCCTCCGTGGAAGCATCAAGTGCAAAATCTGCTAGCAGGGCGTTCACAGCCGATTGTCGGGCGTTCGCATTCGCATGGTGTAACGAGCGCGTCAAGAGCCGCTGAATTCGGTAGCAGCAATTGCGGCATCGCTGAAAGGCGCATCGGCTTTCACGCTGGATCGTTGCAGAGCACTGCGGGGACTTGCAAACGAGCTGGAGACGGATTGTAGGTTCAGGGACAGTGAGACCATCACCAACTGGAGTTTGGCCGTCGGTGTGTGGACGATTGGCGGACCAAATCACGCCTGGAGCTTCCCCATGAAGATGGTTAACCAGTGCCATCTTGGTTTGGTGACGAGCCTTCCGCCGAAACTTGTCGTCGCTATTAGAGTCATCAGATTCGGTGACGACGATATTATTCACCTTTCGGATGTCAAGTAAAGCAGGAGTGATGAACCGCTCTAAGCTTCCACGATCACGGAGAGATACACGCAAAAATCCAGCAGAGTTCGCGTTGTTAAGCCGCTGGACGACGAAAGGCTTGAGTAAGGTCGCCAGCCGCTGTGACCACGCGAAGGAGGACAGCATCCACCTGACAGCCGAAAGAGTGCGATCCCGAAGCCAACGACCGGACGGAAGATGAAGTAGCCAGCTTATCAAGCCATCTGTCTTGATGCTATGCTGACGATTGTCTTCAGTCTTGAGGAATGATACCTGGCTTCCCTTGTCCACCGCGGTGACCCAAGTGCCAGCTTTAGAGATGCTAACCTGCTGCTTCTCCTTACCAGTGGCCTTGGTGTGGTCTTTGATCTCGAATGCAACGTCGGACAGCGATGAGAAAAATGCGTGCGCTGGTTGGTTCCGCTCCGTTGGCTCCCAGGCAAACTCTAGCTGTGTCGCGCCAATTCTTACTGCGACTTCGCTCAGTTTTCGCATCATAGCGTGCTCCACCCCGCGGTTCAACGCACGACAGCTAAGCAGAAAGCTGTCCACTAACAAAACATTGTGATCGCGTGCATGTCGACAGAGAGCCACGTTCACCAGGCCGTAGTGGCCGAAACGATCAGTCACATGAGCGCAGATTACCGTGTGTTCCGGAGCTGCGATATATTTCAGCAATTCTTCTTCCTCCAAGCGCTTGGCGAATGTTGTTGCTGTGTTAAACTGATTCGTGCGATGGTGAAGCTGCAGCGCTCGAGTAAATGACGAGCTTCTCTGTTGAAGTTCTTGATCGCGATCGAGCTCTTCGAAGACAATCTTCACACCGAGAGCACTTAAGAAGGCCTTATGCGTCGATGAAAACTCACGAAGCTGTTCACGCTGGAGATTCTGCTGGTAAAGCTGCGTTCGGTCGTTATCTTCCTTAGTGCTTGTAGCTGATCCACTCGAGCGCATGTCCAAACCATCGTCGAAAACCCATTCGTGGTCGAGTACTGACTCAGAAAAGTCTGCTCCGAGCGGAATGACTGTCACGGAGGGCAATGCAGTTGCGACTTCGTTGCATTCTAGAGGGTTGTCGTCGATGAAGATGAACGAGTCCAGCCCTACGCAACGACATTCAGTGTCAACAATCAACAAGTGTGAAAAGCAAAATATTCACCAACATACCAAGAGAGAGCTCCTTGGCGAGTTGCGCGATATTTTCCGACTTTGGTTTCCAGTTAACTTTGGTGGCTACCACGTGCTTATCCAAGTCGAGCACCATATCTTTGCGACGTTGCGTAAAAGCCTCCGTCACGTCCTCGAGGATGTTCTTGCTGCAAAGTGCAAGCAACATACCTCGTTGCTGCTGTGCAATAACGAAGCGCTGAAGTGCGAGAAATCTCGTACCAAGATCGATCCCGCTGGGTCCAACTTCAGCTACCGCTCCACCCCACAAAGTGTTGTCGCAATCGAGAACAATGACTTTCTTTCGACTGCCAGCAGTTCGATAAAGGCGACATATTTGTCTACTGAGCGACAAACTCATCACATTCAGCATCGCTTGAGTGTACGGAGAGTGTTGGCGCTTGTCAGCAACGACATCGTAGAATGCAGTCCTGTACTGCTGTTCAAAAAGAGAAAGTAGCCGTTCTGATGACTGCACAGTCACGTTCTGCATAGCCTCAATCTTGCTTTGCACCTTGCGCTCCATTGCATCGAATCTTGTAGCTGTAGGAGGGGGACCTGGGCATAGCAATACCACCAGCGGTGCAGTAGCCATGGTATCGTACTGCTCAAGATCATTCAAAAACTGGTTGATAGGGCTATCCAGTACGTCGTCGCTGTGCTTGAGGAGCTGCAACTCGGGATGCACTGCTTCGAGGTCACTAAGGCGAACCAGCAAGAGCACCAAGTCCACTGGACGCGCAGGATTAAGCACGTTGCTCGACCAGTCTTCAAAGTCTGTCATGCTGCCATACCCCATCCACTGCAAGTCAACATCAACATTCCACACAGCCTAGTACACGGCAAATATCACCACCATTAGTTCAACAAACCAGTATCTAACGTGCATTGATAGCCTGGCGAAGGGATGACTGGCTAGCAATTAACGCCAGTGCCAGCCCATTTAGCTCCAAGGAAACCTAACAGAACGCAGTAGTTGCACTAACATTCTTTAGAAGATACTGCAGTGGCACGGCGAGGGCTTCGTCGCACGCGAAGGTGCCTCCGATCACCACACGCCTGCAGGCCATTGCTCACTTGGCCCAAATTCAACACAAAGTCTCGTAGTATTATCAGCGATTCAATTAAGTGCGATACAGATGATGGCAAGAGCTCAATCCTCGGGTTCGCGTTCGTACTTGGACGGATTGATGCGATACCTGCAACAGCAAGTCAACAACATAGATGAGTAACTAACAAACAATATGTGAGTAGATAAATCATTTCTTTTACGCACATGTTGCCGTATTGGATTGTCGGTGTGTGCTCGCTGTCCACGTCCACGATGCACACGGCCATCGCTGTCACAAAAAGCAACACGTTAAAACCACCGTCAATATTATTGACGCAGCAACCAGCAGTCACTGCAGCCCACTCACTATTGGCATCAAGTACGCGGTATGTGATGGTAACCATGGACTCCTGAAGACAGAAGTTGAGAATGGCCACGTTGGCCTCTGGCTTGAACACGCCATGGCACGTCACGCCCTCAAAGCTCCACTCCATGAAAGTGCCCTGTTCGTCCGGAATGAACTGCGAGCGCCAGCAAACAACGTGTTAGCCTCTTATCATAAAGACTAAGGATTCTCAATCAGGGCGATGGACAAACCTGCACGGTATAAGCGCTAGCCAAATCCTGCTGCTTGAGTGTTCGGCCGAAAGACCACCGGAGGAATCTGTCAGTGATTGCATGCAATATTATGTCAGGAAACGCTACAACGGTTGGAGGTAACGAGGCTGCGCACTGGGTGTTGGGCTGTCGCGCTGCGTCAAGGTCTTCCTCGATGAATACGATGTTGTTGGTGGAGCGCAAATGCTTGAAACTGGCACCAAAGCGGCGCCACTCCAGGTTGCGCTTCCAGAATCCCTTCAGATATGCGCAGAAGTCCCCATTGGGCACGTCGTAGCCGACCACATTCGCCGGCGCGGCACTCATTTGGACGGCCTGAGAATTAGGAATCGGATTATGAAGTGTGGTCCACATGATAAATATGTTGGGGACACGAAATAGTAGTACCGTAGATGTCAGCGTGTATCATTGCCCATCATGTTGCCTTTTGAAGCAGAAACTGCCTTTGGGGCAAGTGCCGAGCCGCAACACAGGATACGGTGACGCTGAGCTCCATCCTGGAGCCTCTTGGTTAGCTTGATGCACGCCTCAGCGGTTGCTTCGCCGACCCTCCTCCTCATCGTGGCTGGCGGGGAAGTGCTCTCCTTGTCGGAAGGATACACCCGATCAGACAGAGTGACGTGTAGCCGTTTCTCACGCTCGTCACGCACCAGACACCAGTGCACAGCGGTCACGAAAGTGGTTCGGTGGATCCACTTCAGCGGACACTGCTTAAAGCTTGTTGGCTGCATGCGGCAGCTGGTGGTAGCAGTATGTGCCACAAAAAAGCTGTTTGTGGCACTACCGGAGTTGTTTGTGGCACGACCGCAGTGTTGAAGCTTGTCAAGCCATCTTGGTCAGCGTCCCGCTGACAGCGTGAACAAGGTCCCACCAATACATATATAACGGAAACGAGGATGACTTGAATGTTGGCGAAAGATACACGTAACACAACGACCCGGTTTTGCTGTTAGTGGACGACACTTGTACTTGGCAGCGTCATGAACTCTGTGCAGCATTTCATTACCCTCTATACTCCTCGCTTCCATTTGACCACTTCTCAATTGGCCTTCTCGAGCACACCAGTCGACTTCACTTCTACTTTTGAAGAACAAGATGGCCAAGTTACTAACCTTCGCTGCCGCTATCACGACCGCTGCCTTTTTTGGAGCTGCCCGTGCTGCCACCGTCGAGGACACGTGCGTTCTCGCGGACTTCCAAACTGCCACTGCCGATTTCATTGGCCTCAACAACGTCCTGAGCCTCGTTCCGTCGCTGCTGCCCACGTACATCACTGACCCGCTCATCCTCACGAACCAGACACTGGAAGGCATCGATTTCAAAGTGCTAGGACTCAAGTTCGAGGCCACACCGTCGTTCGAGCGGCTGAACGTAACCGGTCTCACGACGATCGCGCCCAAGACGGCCAACGTTACAGGCAGCAACACGCTTGACCTGGGAGCGGATTTCAAGGGTGAATTGTCTGTGAGCGGCAAGTTTTCGGTCGAGTTCGCGCAGCTCGACAAGAAATGGTACCAAATCTGCTGGACGAGCCTCCTGCACCAACATAGCTGTCCGCCGGCGACTGTCACCGTTGATGTCGCTCTGGGACTGAGCAAGCCTACAATTGTAGCGGGAGTTGAAGCAGATCTGTACCAGTGCGCTTCAGGCGTCCCGTCGTCTGTGTGCTCGAACATGACGATCACGTCGATTCTTGTGGCTGCACTTGGAGGAGATCTCACCAGCGTTCTCAACACGGTCCTGCACCACTTCAAGGACGCGTCACTAACATCGCTTAGTCTTGATTGGGACTTGATCACAAACATCGACCTCACTTTCGATGACACTGGTGCCTTCATCTCCAACGTCATCAACGGACTCCTGGACTTCACGGCGGAGAAGCTCAACAAGAAGAAGGCTGCTTACAATACGTTTACCAAGGTCTTGGACAAGCTTGTACGCTCGCTGCTGAACAACCTGATCGACCAACTGCTGGTGCCGCTTTTCGGTGCCACATGTCTGTAAGTAGAGACTCGAGTAGTGTTGCTCCTGCTATTACCGATTCGGTATGTTTAACTTTTAACCAAGTTTGTTTGGTAATTAGAAACTGGTTTGATAATCATGGTAGTTCTTCTTACCTTGCAGTGCACGGCATCCACAAGTGAACTGAGGGCGAAGATACAAGTGGGGGTGGACCTGTTGGATGCTAGTAACCTGGTGACTTTGAATCACTGACTCATAAGTTGTGAGACTCTCAAGCACCACTGTCATTGTGGATACTAACCGGTCGTGGCTCAAGCAAGCACCATGTTTTAATTGGGTGAAGGGGGGGGGGGGGGTAATTTGGCCTTCTATTTGGGTTAAACCTATAGAAGGCTAACGCGTGTAATGATATTCTACTTGGGCACGCACGCATTTTGATGTCGAGCACATTTTCCGCTTGTAGCTCGATAAAACAAAATGCACGATGCAACTATTATACACCTAGAAAGCATAAGAAGAAGTGCCGAGCCAGGCCCCGACATGTTTGTCAGCCCTGAGCCTCAAGGCGAAGCCCGGCTTTAAATTCGTGTCCATGTATGACATTGAAGTTGTCAAGTTGAATAGTTTAGGTTTCTTTCTTTTGAAATGAAAAACTCGTACGCACGTAATGACTCTTCATCTCTTTCATTTCAGGAAGTGCAATGCAACGCAGACACCAGCTCAGTCCGGAGGAGAAAACTCTAGTTTGCAATGTATATGATTATTTCGTCGCCAAGGATAAAACGAAAAACTTATGCCAACCATGCCAACAACACTTGCAAACTTATCGTCGTTGGTTCTGGCATCTTGGTCATTTGTGGCAGCTCGAAATGCAACACTTCATCACACAGCTCCTCACCTATCCATCAGTAAGTTTACTCGGGTGATCCATCCGTTGCCTTCCTTGTGTATAGATGATATTGAACGTGTACTGGAACATTTGCTGCGTTCATCAACAGTCTCCACACAATTCAATTTGCTTCCTCAAGCACATTACCAGCCTCCAAACAGCATGACCAAGTTCTTCGGATTCGTCGCCGCCGTCGCTGCTTTCGGTGTGGCCTCCGTCGCTTCCGAAAGAAGCGCGACCGTGGCGGATACATGCGTGATCGTTGATTTCGAGACCGCGACGTCCGACTTCACGGCGCTCAACAACATCGTGGCTATTATCAAGTCGTCACCATCGCTGCTGAGCTCGTACCTCAGTGACCCGCTGACTATCGAGGACCAGACCCTGACGGAGCAGGATTTCTCCTTCCTCGGCTACACCTTCACGGTCACGCCCACCATCAACTCATTGAACGTGTCGGGCCTCACCACGCTCTCACCCAAGCAGATCAACGTCACTGGATCGGACACACTCGATATCGGCACGGATTTCACCGGTACTGTATCCGTGGACGCCACGTTCTCCGTGGAGATTGCCCAGCCTAACCACAAATGGTACCAGATCTGCTGGGTTGATCTACTGCACCCGCTAGTGTGTGACTCGGTGACTTACACTGTCGATGTCGCGCTTGCACTAAAGGAACCTGAGATCGTTACCAGTGCCCAGGTGGACATGTACCAGTGTGCAGAAGGCATCTCAACGTCGGTATGCTCAAACCTGACTGTGACCAGTATCCTCGTGTCCGTCCTGAGTGGCAGCGACTTGTCAACGATCGAGCAGGAGGTTCTGCTTCGAATGAAGAGCGCGTCTCTGACTGCACTGACTCTCGGCTGGGACTCGATCACCAATATCGACTTCGTCTTCCACCAGACTGGCACGTTCATCACGCAGATTATCAACAACTTATTGGACTTCTCCGCTGCGGAAATCAACAAGAAGGGCGACTACTACACAGTGTTTATCGATGTGCTGGATAAGCTGCTGCTGTCGCTGCTCAACAACCTCATCACTAACGACTTGGAGCCACAATTCGGCCCAACGTGCCTCGAATCGTAGGTTATTGAGCTGTACTTGGTCTATTTCCATTGCATCAGGTACACGCGTGAACATGACAACTTTCTGCCATTTCTGGTATCTTATTTTTGGTTAGCCTCACAATCTTATTTTGCAACTCTGGCAAAATGGATACAGATGACCTTTCTGTCCCATTTTGGTAGCCGCGGTCTCAGCATTACTTCGCTCGATGTATCCTTGAGTTGCTTTTCCGCTGCAGAGCCCGGACTTCCAGTGCGTCTGCCTGCTTACGTTGCACTGGCGGCCACAAGTGAGCAAGGGAAAATGTCTGATTCCACGTGACTATGAAGGTCATACATAACACGTCGATATCGAGCAGCAAATGAAAGTGAAAAACTCGATCTGGTCGATGGATCCGTAACTCGTGCAGCGACCGAGTGAAGGTGCTGGTGGTTCACCTGGCCCCACATAACCCAATCTGCTTCGTCCCGTTCAGATCAATTACTCGAGATGGCCAAGTTCTGCGGATTCCTCGTGTCCATTGCCACCGCCGTTGGTGCCGTATCCGCTGGAAATGGCGGCGGTGTGCCCACTGCGGTAACTATTGCACCCACAGTCGCCCCCAGCGCGAGCCTTCCCGCGGTTGTTCCTACCGATACCCCCACTTCCGCCTCCAACACGACCCCAACCGTGGAAGACACGTGTGTACTGGCGAACTTCGAGACCGCGACGGCGGACTTTATCGCGCTGGGCAACCTGGTCAACATCGTCAAGACCTCGCCGGCAGTGCTCAAGCAGTACGTCAGCGACCCGATGCTCATTCAGAATCAGACACTAGCCACACAGAACATCTCGTTCCTTGGATACACGTTCGAGACGACGCCTACGATCAACTGGCTTAATGTCTCGGGCATCACGACGATCTCCCCTCTGCCTGTGAACGTCACGGGCGTCAACACGCTGGAGTTGGGCACGGACTTCACCGGCACCATCGCTCTCGAGGGCACGCTTACAGTCGAAGTCGCGATGCCCGACCACAAGTGGTATCAGATCTGCTGGGTTGACCTACTGCACCCAATCAAGTGCCGGCCGCAGATCATCACGGTGGACGTGGCACTCGCAGTTAGCAAGCCCCACATTGTGACCAACATTGAGGCCAACCTGTTCGAGTGTGCGCCGGGTATCCCGACGTCTACGTGCCAGAACCTGACGATGGCCAGCATCATGACAGGAGCACTGAGCGGTGACCTCACGACGCTGACCAAGTCCATCTACAAGAACTTCAGGGACGCCAAGGTCAACACGCTCTCGTTGGGTTGGGACCTGATCACCAACATCGACTTTGTCTTCCACAACTCGGGCCAGTTCGTCACGCAGATCATCAACGGCCTGCTCGACTTCTCCGCCAAGAAGCTCAACAAGAAGGGCGACTACTACCGCGTATTCCTCGACGTCTCGCAGAAGCTCATGTTGTCTTTGCTTAACAAGATCATCGATACGCAACTCGAACCGGCGTTCGGCGCTACGTGTCTGTAAGCATATTTAGGAGTAGTGCGCAGCGACAGATGTGTAGGAGCGGTTGTGCATGGTTATACTTTGAGGAGTACCCTAGCGAATATATGATGCTCTTGCCAGTTTTGAATTGATAAACAGCACTAAAGCTTTGTGAATTGGCACACATGAGACGGATGCTAGTAAGTTGTGCTTTCGTGAACTCTCGAGCTCGAACAAACCTGATGACACACTCCCGTCTTGGGCTTCTCGTGTTGAACAAAATCTACATTGTCAGCGATGGAACATTCGCCGAAAACGTCGTGGATAGCGTTCGTCAGCTACTTTGGATACGGTGCTCCGGAAGTACTACAGTGTAGTAGGTGTGGTAGCTGTTTTAGAGCGAAAACCTTGAGTGCTCGTCGTCTGTAGCTTCGCGGCCAGCAACATTTGAACCCCCTTCAGCCTTTTTAGCGTTGCGCGTTCGTGAGCGAAGTCCAACCGCCGTTTGTCATTCGAAACCTTCTTCTTAAGCTGCTCCAGACCAATGCCTTTAGTCACGTCAGACAGACGTACCGTATGCCATGACGACCAATCTAAATGGCTGCCAAAGGGCGCAAGCGGCAATACAAATTCCAAGTGTAAATGAGCAGCTAGATCACCTTTGACAGCTGATACCTGCGTAGTGTGTGCTACTTGACAGTGTCAATGATTTCCATAAGGGAGGGCTTCATTGGGGAGTACTAAGCTCCATTCCATCGCTTTCGCAAACAGTCGATCTCTATCCTTGTATCCTCCAATTTTCCATTTATCCCCCATTATCAGTTTAGTGAGGCTTTTGGAGCGTCGGTTGAAAAATAGAATTTTTTGCCAAAGGTATCAGGCGTGCGCCAGGAACAGCAACAGGAGTAACCAGGGGGTTCATTTGTCTTAGCGCTGGACAGGTACAAGGCCCCTGGAACTCCCATACAATGCATTGCCACCGCGCGTCCGTCTTCGAGCGACCAATAGCGGACGCCGTTCGCGTACTGCACCTCGAGAACGAGTTCCGTCGGCTGGCGCCGGCCGCGCGCTTTCGGGTGGGCGGGCAAGTGCGCCCGCAGCTCTGGGACGCCATGATGCGCGGCCTCAAGCACTCCGAGATGTCCACTGATGCGGCCAGCTACGCGCGTCTACTCCCTCCCCAGCTGGGTCCTCAGCAGCCGGAGGAAGAGCACGATAATGACAACGACGACTCGTGCGCGGTGGTCGTGAAACGGTCCAAGACCAACAGCGAACGCGGTCGCGCCTTCCGTGCGCGTCGCAAGAAATACGAGGACGACCTGCTGGCCATCGTGAACTCTCTGCGTCAGGAGGTCGAGGACCTCGGATTCCTACGCGGCGTACGCGCCGACAAAGTGCTGTACACTCGCAACAGCATGGGCGGATCGCTTGTGCGTCTGACACGAGCGTATTTCTCGATGTTCGAGTACGGTATGCCGTCAGTTCGAGGCGTCGGTCAGAAGCGACCTGCGATGCTCACCGACGTGTCTATTGACAGCTCCGATGAGTCATTAGAGGCGAAACAGAAGGCGTTCTTGGACAGCGCCATGGATTTGGAAGTTCAGTTCGGTGAAGCCAGCGGCCCAAAGTCGCTACTGGACCAGTGGAAGCGATACACGAGCTACCACTCGAGTATAAGCGTCGTGGTCGTCGGGGTTGAAGTGTCCGGGGAAGAAGATAGCCCTATGGTGACGGTGCGCTCCGATCTGCACGTCGTCTTCTCACAAGACACTTTCGATAACGTTTTCCCACATGCTGCCGATAATGAGGAGCTGGTCAACAAGTTCATCGGCCGCGAGGTCGTTTACCATGGCGTGAACCGCTTCCAGTTCTCGCCACAAGGCCAGATCCTCATCTACGACTCGGATGTGGGATTTGTGGACGCGCTGGTCCAAGCTGGAGCCAGCGTCTCGGACATTGCGCTACTGATGCAACAAGCGCGGATAGCGGACGAGTGCAGACTCGGAGACGAGGGAAAAGATAACAACAGGGTACAAGAACTCGATCAGGAGAACCAAGACCTGGTCGAGTACTACAGCGGCGCTGGCACAAGTGCGTGTGTGACGGACGCTGACAGTGATGCTGATGCCTTCACATCGGAAAACAATGAAAATGACGGACCAAATGATGGGAAATCGAGACCACCGCAGTCCAGTCGTCATGCCATCGACTTCCTCCTGTCGTAGTATACTATAGTAAATTCTGTATTCATATGAACCTGAACTCTTGCAGCATTTTAATACACAGCATTGCCTTTGTTGCAGCGTGAGCTCATGCTTCATCTAAATTTATAAAAAAAAAAAAATGGTTAACACTTTCATTTTGTCAATTTTATTTTTTCTTGCAGTTGTTTTTTAAACGACATGCTCGAAGTCGTGATCGCTAGTCTAGCGCAGTGCAGCAGCGATGGCGGCGATGGCACCGTAAGTCACGATGGAAAGTGCCGTAGTCGACGCACTGGAGGTAGAGCCTGAGGTCGACGCAGAACTGGAACTGCTTCCAGATTCAGATGCGGAGCTGGAGGCGCTTTCGCTTTCACTTTCACTGCCGGAGTCACTGCTTGAGTCAGTCTCGTTACCGGTTTTACCATCGAGAAAGTCGCTGATCAGCCTTCCGTATATCACGACGGTACCATTGATCTCGAGAGTGCACTGGGTGTTGATGTTAGTGTATCCGTTGACGAGGTTGATGAGAACGTTGCAGCCATCGTCACTCTGCTGAATCTCCAGAGCAACCTCCTTTGTCGGGAACTCGGTGATGGCGAAAATGTCAACACCCGTGTCTTCTTCGCACTTCTCTTGAGCGGGCGTCATTTTGGCTGCGATCGTCGAGTTGGCCAGCAAAGTATCTTCAATACTCGTCAAGTCGCACTCTGTGGCCGTGACAGCCATGCCAATTGCTCCAGCAACAGCGAGGGCTGACAGGAAGGCGGTCTTCATGGTGTTGCAAAGTGCGTGGTGAATCGTTAGTCGACTTGCTTGGTGGCTGGAATCTGGGCTAATGAGCCTTCGCAGTTCGGAACAAGAGAGCTCTTGCCGTAGTATTCTTGGCAAAAATGGAGCCAACGGCTCATGAGACTGATGCCTGCCACATTTATCTCTCGATTGCGATCCCTAGCTTATCGTCTTCGACACGCAACCTAAAACTGCAGTTGGAGATGCTGAAAACTGCAACATCGAAAACGACTCTCAGTAGGTTATATCGGTAGTGCGACCAAGCGGTCCAAAGAAAAAATGGCACCACGCAAAACTCGTAAATGAATTACGTGTACGTTAGTCACATTCTCTGGTTTTCATTGAGCTCCAAGTTGTTGACACTGGATAAGAAAAATCAAAATATGGCACTTTTTCAGTGCAAAAGTAAAAGTACACAGAAAGCTTGCATTAGGGCAACCTGTGGCACTACGTTAACTCTATCCGCAACTACTTAGTGCAGTGCCATGGCAATCACGGCAGCAACGCCATAGGCGACGAAGGAGAGAGTTTGAGCACTTGATGCGCCACTGCTTCCGGTCGAGTCGGAAGCAGCCGTCGACCCAGAGCTGGTGGCCGAGCTGTCGAGGTTGGCCGAGCCCGAGCCCACCGATCCAGACGCGCTTTCGCTCGGGATTTCGATGGAGCCACTGCCAGAGTCCGATTCGTTTCCGGTTTTGCCAGTGAGGAAGTCGGCGATGAGCTTGCCAAAGTTTACGGGGACGCCCTCGATCGTGACGTTACACTGGATCTCGGCGTTGGCCACCTGGTTGATCTGGTTCAGGTAGTCGGCGCAGTCGACGTTCTGTGAGAGCTGCGTGACCTGATCCGAGGTGGGGAACTGACCCACAGCGAAGATGTCGATGCCCGTGGCGTTCTCGCAGTCGGCGAGGCCCTGGGTGGCGTTCGGGTAGAGCATACTCTCGATCTTGGACATGTCACAGTCAGCAGCGCTTGAGTAAGCGGCGGCGGCGACCAAAGCGGCAGCAGACACGATGGCAGTCTTCATCTTGGTGGTAACGATGAGGTGCTGGGTGGAGGAAAGATAGTCGAGTGCTGGGCTCGAGTGAAATTGACAAGTGAGGAATGTGGAGGACGGACGTCCAGTATCGCCGTCGAATCGTCTCTACCGTTGCTTGACCATGAACCGACGAAAGGAGACGACATACAGCAGTTAACCCCATAGTCACCCCATACGGCGCACCATTTGGCGTGTGCTCGTGGCAGCGCAAGACCATTTTCCAACAGGTGTAGGTGGTTGCAGTATCTGACTCCACTAGCGAAACCAACTCTACGATTTGCAAGCCAATCAGAGCGCGCAGTTCGATTTCGAAACGGTTCAAAACTCGGTTTCTTTCGTGCTATCGAACAGCTGAACGCTCCGACGTCTTCGCTGCGCTTTACCCGCCTTGAACTTTGCATTGCATGGGTAGGACGAACGCCGCATAACCTGTGCGGTAGCAGCGATGAGGAACCATCAGGTCGGAATTCTTACCCGTCTTCATGCTACATTGTGGAGGTGGCAACAACCTTCTCAGTGTCACGATATGCAGTAATGCTAGCCATGGATAGTAAGAACTCGCTTGAGCAGGGCGATGATCAATCGTGCAGATGCTGATATGTTTATGTTTCGGTCGGCGTAAAAGTAAGCACGCACAACGTCAACGAATGCTTCAAAATGTAAAAAGGAGATTTATCATCAACGCTCAAAACTTTAATTGGCAGTGGTAGTCGCAGACGCTGACCACAAGTCTAAAGTGCAAAAGCGAGCACGGTGGTCGCGGCAGCTGCGACGACGGAAAAGGTGGCGGTGATGGCGGCGGCACTGCTCTTGGAGGCGCTCTCGCTGTCCTTCTGAGCGTCTGCTGACGCGTCCTCCTCTGACCCAGAGCTGCTCTCTTCGGACTCGCTGCCTGAGGCACTAGCTGAGGCGGATTCACTGTCCGAGTCACTGGCGGATAGCGATACGCTGCCGGACATGCTGTCCGAGCCGACAACAGCTTCCTTGGTCTTGTTGCTGGATTGGCCCTTGAGCAGATCCGTAAGCAGCGAAGCGAAACTGACGGTCTGGTCGCCCACCGTCGTCTGGCATTGGATCTCCGAGTTGGCCTTCTGGTTGAGCTGGTTAAGGTAGTTGACGCAGTCTCGCGATTGCTGGACGGTCTTGGCCTCTGTCTTCGTCGGGAGCGAGCTGAGATCGAACACGTCTACGCCCGTAGCGGCGGCGCAGCTGTCGTGCCAGGTCGTGCCGTTCGGCAGCAATTTGCCCTCGATGGCGCCCATATCGCACGTCTGGGTCTCGTTCTGAGCGGCACTGGCACCAACCGCAACAGCGAGGAGCAGGAACGTCGAGGTCTTCATGGTGTTCGAAGGAAAGAGAGTAAATACCCGAAAGGTGAGGAAATGGAGTTCGCTAAGACGAAGGAAATTCCGGAATGATCGAGGCCGTGTGCTTCACTGGTCAAGAGCTACGGGCGACGATAGCTCGCGTCGTCGACGACAGGCTTGCGAAAATTGTCTCCGGACAGGCGACAACAGCGACCCATGAGGTCTGATAACGGATCCAAGTTGAAGTTGCCAGCCAATCACAGCACGAAGCAGTTACTGGCGCGCACAATGCACAATGCAACAACTTTTAAGGACTCACTAGTTTCTATGGACGGTTTATTGTCGAGCCGAGTTGCTTCTGTTCGAAGAGTGAGTAATAGAGACGATCACTATAACCGAGCTGAGAGGAGCTGGTAAACGCGAATAGAGCTCACTTGGTACCCAAGTGCAGCGCTACACCTACCGAGTATCAGACGCAGCGACACTCTGAGAATCGAAGTGCGTGCCATCGAGAAAACGGGCGGCTTTTGTTAAAATGACAGATAGTTGACGAACGTATTAAAATATGTGTCATTATTCACAAGCCGCATCTGTCATTTTTCAGTTGATCCGAACCGAACACAGTAAAATTTGTGTTCGTAACTACAAAAGTTTTGAGCTCGAACGATATCGCGACGACGTGATATGGGCAGACTTGAGCGTTTCTTTCCTTTAGCTTAACATTTCATACAGTCGGCGATGCCAATACTCAGCCACTCTACTTTCGTGTTGCAATCTGGTTGCCATACAGGTCACGGAAGAACCGATTGTGCACGGTTCGTATGGACGGAGGGCCAGAATCCACCGACGTTCTTCTCGACGACGAGACCCCCGCAGACGCAAAGTATGGAGTATAGGCAGCAGCAGGTTGACTTCGCTTGGGTGTGACAATACGCACACGAATCTCGTCGCTCTTTCCGCCAGAACTGCAATTGCTGCCGAAGCTAACTCGGCGCACACACGGCGACAAACTTCCAGAACGGCGACGGCGATTGATATTTACAATCGGCGAGCCATCAATGTGTCGCTGTGGGGACTGAAGTGAGAGTGCCGACGTTGAAGACGCCCAGTTGCGCTTGCCCACATCGCTACGCAGCAGGATATCGGGCGTACTCATACTGAGACGCCGTCTAGGTCGACTTCTTTCTGGAGTGTGCATTTCATTAGCTAAAGCGGGCGTAGCACTGCGACGTCGGCGATTATCAGGCGGCGAGCTGTTGACGGTGTTCATGGCGTCGCTGTCCACTGATACTTGCTTGGCAGACAAGCGCGATACGGACGTACGAGACCCGAACTCGGTGCTACTGGGAGCTCCAGTAGCTACCGTCACCAGTCGATGCTGTCGAGAAAGATCGTCGGCTTCGTAGTGGGTGTTCACTGAGAACAGCACCATTGAGTGGCGACGATTTAAGACACGAACTTCCTCCTCGTCGCCCTCCTCCTCTTCAGGAATATCATCGTGACCCCACCGCCCACTGGTGACTTCGTAGTCGTCTCCATTGGCATCACGGGACGCGTATTTCGTGGCATCATCACGCAGCACCTTGGCAACACAAGCCTTGCAGAAACAACGAGCCAATACAGGCTCATTTATCCACGTAACTCTGGCTGACGGGATAGTTTCCTGTCGTACACTGCACTGAGTGCACGTCCAGTGACGACAAGCCGCACACCGCCGCTTCAGGGCACTACCAAGACGACGCAGACACATCCCGCAGCGCCTCTCGCCGTCGAGCGATTCCTGGACCGAAGAAATCGATAATGAGGCCACTGCACGCTCCGCCTCTGTGTTTTCCACCTCTCTAGCCAGTTTCTTGGCCAGCGCACAGGCTCGTACATCCGCCAGACTCAACAGCGTCTCCACAATGCTCTTCTCGGCAATGGATTTCGGCAGCCCCAGTCCAATTGTCCCATTTCCCCCTCCAACATCGTATTTCCCTTCATGAAACACTCCCACTCTACCATTACGTAGCTGTCTAAAGAACGAGCACAAGAAGATCTGTCCTCTCACCACCGAGTGGTTCTGGAACGGCGGACAGGACGGGAACGTGATCGAGTGACGCAGTCGATAGCCGAGCTTTACGCCCGTCCTAGGCGAGTGCACGACGCCAGCCGCTGCCAAATAGCAGAAGTCCCGGTCTTTGACCACCAGTCCGCCGTGTGGCGCGCGTTTCAGTGCCCACTTGATACTCAATGATCGGAAAGGGTCCGCACTCGACGGACTCTCCACAGAGCAGAGCACAGCGCCGTCCGCCACTCCGTCGCCAGTGAAATGCGCTCTAGCCGCGCGTTCCCGACCGGATCTCCACATGGATCCATACAGAACGTCCTCTAGCGCTCCGTCCACGCTGCCAACGAGACGAAGCGCCGGCAGCTCGTGCTCCTCAGTGCGCGACTGGCGCCTAGTTATATCGGGTTCGGGATCGGGCTCTGGCTGGCCTCGCTGCGCCCGCTTCACCTTCTTCCTCTTCGTGGGCCGCTGGCGAAAGATCTTGACGCCTTCACGCTGTCCCACCAGCTTCCAACCAGATTGCGCAGCGTCCGCGTGTGCGTCGTAGCTGGCCAGGTAGACGGAGAGAAGCCGCGCCTCCACACGCTGCAGATCATGGACTTCGGCTGCGGAAAGCCGTACGGGCGCGAAGAAATCCGTGGGCAGCGGCAGCCGCATGACAAGCAGTTGAAGTGAGGGCGTGCACTCAGACTTGCGCTGGCATCTTCACGACCAAGCGACCATCAGTTGACGAAAGGACGAAAACAATGACTGGATAATTGCACAGTTTGGATATGAGCGGGTGAAATTGGACGAAACCTTGGGTTATTGCGGAGGAATTGGACACGGCGTTCATGACATCTATCGGTACTTTTGACCCATCACTATCAAAATATAAAAAGTCAAATAAACTCGGTGTGAGACTGTGCGCGTATCCATTTCGTTATGATGAAAATTCAATTTCATCATTCATGTCGCCGGTGATTGGCTGAGAACCTCGAATAATCATTCGGTCCAAAGACATGCATTCTCAAAATTATAGTAGTACCTTAGAATGTATCATTATATTAACTTTGATCTGCTACTGCAGGGATACTACGCGGAAACGCCTTTACTAAACCTTCAAGACACGACCAATTACTGCTTGCCGAGCTTGATGTTGCTGAGAAGTATCGCAGGAGCCCACAAGTCACGCTCAGCATCGCTGCTCCAACAGATATCGTGTCGAAACCTTATTTTGATTGTTGACAAGACAAGATTGTAATTGAGTAACGCCATGCATGCTCAGTAACTTCACACATGCCTTTTAGCTAATCATGTAGACCACCTAAGGTATAACCACAAGACGAACCGCACTGTTGTGCATATTGGGCTTCCGAGTTTACTGCCAACTGACGTCACGACTTCAGAAGCAATAAAAGGTAAACCACACCTTGATTGTGATCCGACCCAGTAAGAAGACTCTAAAGTACTAGAATCCTGGGGCTCTTCTGCAATCTGCTTAAGTGCTAGGCTTGTGGTAGCGCTGCTTGATTCATTTACTAGTACTTACCCACGACGTTCACAACGTTCACTACTTTGAGCCGAAAACTCCTCAGTCCTTGTTGTGCATTCTGACACCTTTACAATAGTACTATAGTAACCTGTGCAAATCCTGAAATGAACCCATGTCGAAGTACTACCCTAATACTGCTATGCTCTAATCTTTGCCACCTCACTCGAAAACTTCACAGCCGACAAGACTACGACGCCGCGTGCTCTTGTGCCCGCCCCTCCCGCTGTCGACGAGTCCTCAGCTCCATAGCTGTTACCCTCCTCACCTGCACCTGCTTGCCACGTTCCCTCTCGTGGCAGCGGTGTCTTCCTATTCACTCCAGACGCGTCGCTCCAGCCCGTTTAGTGTCTGCACCGCCTAAGATCCAGCGACAATAATCCACCGAAATGCTCCCGCAGCGGCAGAAATCGGGCAAGCGCGCAGTGGCCAGCCACCGCCAAGCCAAGTTGAACGTGCGCAATGCAGCGTTCATCGCTCTAGGCCTCATCTTCGTGCTGTACATGTACTTCAACCTCCGCTTTTTCGCCACATCCACAGTCTCCACCAATTCCATCACAGCGACCGGCAAGGGCTGGCGTTCCTTCGATGGTGCGCCCAATAAGCCCAATGAGGCGGATGGAGACATGCTGGTGGACGCGTCCGCCACGCGCCAGGTCAAGCACCTGGTCTTCACGTCCACTTGTCGCGACCTCGACTTTATCCACGCAGAGGTGCTCGCCTTCACACTGCGTCGCACAGGATACGACGGCAACGTCACTCATTTACTTTATGGCTGCACGTCCGAGGAGGCCACAGAGCTCATGCGCAAGAAAGACCCGCGTCATAACGTACAGACCAGACATTACCCGGACGTCTCGGCGGTGAAGACGACGTTCGGCGAGAAGATCCTCACAACGACTTTGAACCCCGTGGTCTTGTCTAAATGGCTGCTGGGGTCAGACGCTGGAGAGTTCAGTGACAATCGCGCAGTGCCGTTTGAAGAGCGCTATGCCCTGGCATCCGACGACTTTGTCATAGCCGTGGACAGCGACGCGATCTTCACCAAGAAGCTGGACATGTGGAACCTCATGGCCGAAGCGAACGACGTTGTTGATGCTCGCATTTTCGGCCAGGACGCGTCTTGGTACTGGCCTAAACGATTCCCATTGACGGATGAACAGCTACGCAGTATCCTACCGACGAACTCTCGCGCTCTGCTTCTGGATGACTGGCGTGAATATGCTGCCATTGCTCCATTTGTGGCAGAAGTGAGCGCGTGGCAGGAGATTCTGCCTACTGCTGTGGATTTGTGGGACAAACTGGCTCATGAACAGCGTTACCTCGCTGTTCCTATCGCTGCTGCCCACGAGAAGACTCTTATCGGAGTGTCTGGTGTTCTCAGTGTACACCACTACCCTTCTCGCTACCAGAACTGGGACTTCGTGGACGATATCAAGCACAATCCATGCGAGACGCTGGCTGAAGGGAAGAACCTGGCACTGTCGTCCTATCCGATCTCCATCCGTGCACTCAACTTCACTCTCCCTCAATGGATCGACGGCCGTGACTGGAGTTTCTTCGCTGACAAAGTCCCGTCGGATTTCTTGTCGTGTGACGCCTGGATGATGCACCAACCGACCGGTTATCTGTGGCATCTTGCAACTCACACGAACGGATACGAACGCGTGCCCAACATTCTTCGTCGTCGTCACACCATGAGTGTTTGTCTCGCTGTGGAGGCTTACAACAGCGCGTCTGAGAGTTACCGCTCGCATGTTTGCCCCACTGGCTTCAACCACAATCGTCGTATCCCCATGGAGTTCAAGAAGGAGGCATGGAGCACTGCTGTGGCACTCGCAGAAGGCACTCAAATGGAAGAGGAGCCGCCCGTTTACTTTGGCAACTACAAGAGGAAGAAAGCAGCAGAAAACGACCCCAAACCTGGGCAAGAAGGAAGCGATGAACTGCATTTTGTGTTCACGACTTCTTGTGAGCCGTACCAGGACTGGCAGAGTGAGGCTCTAGCACAGAGTTTCGTGCGAGTGGGTCAGCGTGGGGCTCTCACACGCATCGTAAGTGGCTGCTCGGATGACGCAGTGAAGGAGCTGCTTCGTCGTACGCAAAAGTCTGCTCCACATCTGCGTATTCACGTCACGCGCGACTTCCGTTCGCTTCCGAGTTTCAAGGAGGTGTCCGATAGTGTTGAAAAGGCTTCGACACCAGACGACTACGCGCCGTACAACAAGCCGTTCGGCCTGCGGGACTGGCTGGAGTCCGCCAATCCTCCAGTGCGCGAGGAGCTCATCGTCGTGCTGGATCCAGACTTCCTGTTCATCCGGCCGTTTGCAGTCAACACTGGCGGTCGTGTGACGACAGCGAAAGGTGTGGACTCGGGCAACTACGAACAAGACGCAGAGGTGATTGAAGGTATGCGGCAGTACAAGCGCTTCTTCGTGTACGCTGGTTCTCGTGACGATGTGAGCGACTCGGTGACGGACGGTGTGGCTGTAGCTCAGCGATGGTCGCAGTATCTGGGCACTGCGGCCTTTGAGAACAGCAGCTCAATCTGTCCGGAGTGTGCGAAGGTGTCGAAGGCCGATGCTACCGAGTATTTTGCGGTTGGTCCTCCGTACGCTATCACGCGCAAGGATCTGACTCAGCTGATGGACGACTACTGCAACATGACGGTACTTAAGCGGGAGCAGATGAACCGTGAGCACTGGATGAGTGAAATGCTGGGCTACTCGCTTGCTGCGGCGAAGCATAATGTGAAACACACGACATTTGACAATCTGGCGCTGGGCAACAAGGCAGATGACTACACTGGTTTTGTCAATATTATGAAGGGCAATCCGTGTGAGGACCCAGTGACTCCGATCATCCCGGGTGAAGCCCCGCCGTTGTTGCATGGCTGCCACTCGTACGAAGCTGAGGACGACCGTGGACTCAAGTGGATGTTCTACAAGCAGCTGATGCCCAACGACATGTTCGCGTGCGACTCGTGGCTGCTGGCATCACCACCCGCGAGCGTCTGGACGTTGGCCAAGCGCAGTCGCGACAAGCAGCTCATGCTGGAAGCCTACGGAGTCTGCACAAGCATCAAGGTGTTCAACCAGGCTTTGGTCGACTTTAAGACGAAGATGTGCCCCGACGGCTTCAACCAGAACCGCAGACTACGAATGGTAAAGGATGTGCGTCAAGATCTACTCAAGGTTGGCAACGTGCACAAGGCCTGGCAAGATGCTGCCCAGGAGAACGCTCGTGAAGGCCCGTGAGCCGCCCGGTAGGTCGTAGATACATTTTAGTGTAGGTTGAAGACGCCTCTCATACACTTTTCGTCAAAATGGCGGTCTATGTAGCCATTTCGATGGGAAGAGTCGTCGCATTGTCGAGACCCCGAAACGTACTTAGTCGGTTTTTGACATACAAACTCCAAGATGTTTGACACGCACTGGCGTCTCTGGCTAGACAGCTCAAAATTTCACTGCCGTGCACGACGGTCGCCATAATTCCCGTAGGTTTCTAGCCGCTGCAGTCATCAAGCGTCCGTGCCACGCGTTGCTCAGTGGCGCCTGCTGTTAAACCCGCGAAAGAATGAGCTGGGCGCCGCGAACGTGCGAACCAATCGTGCTGAACGTCAGCACCTCCGACGGCGCGGAGCTCTTTGAGAGCGAGCTGCTGGCGACGGGCGTACAGTCCGCCAAGTGTAGCATCGAGACGACGGCGGCCTCTGGGCCTACGCCCCCCGCGTCCCAGGCCTCGGCCGCCTCGCCGACGATGCGGCCCACAGCGGCGCTCAATGACGAGCAACGCCGCTCGAGACACAACGCTAACGAGCGGCGTCGCACGAACGCGCTCAAAGTGAGTGAAGCCATGTCAGCACATGTATATGACCTCTCCACATGCTCACCCATTTCTGCCGTGATTGGCTTCTGATAAATCACAGACACGAATCTTGCAGATGCGCGAAGAGATGGAGGCGCTGGAGCGCCAGCGCGCGAGACTCAAACTCGAGGCGCTGTCGCAGAACCCAGCGCTTCTGGACACCATCAGTCTCATTGACCAGCTCCGTCAGGAGCAGCAGGAACTGCGTAAGAAACTGCGTGCTTACGACATGCAGAACAGCACGTACCAGACTATTCTGTCCGAGTACGGAGCCTCTTCGTCATCATCGGGGATCTCGGACTCTCACTACGATTCAGATGACAAGGATTCCAACGAGGATCGGCTGGTGGAAGCCCCCATCTTCCAACGTGTACTGTTCCGTCGCCCCTTGTCACTAGACGTCGTCATGGCTTGCGTCAAAGAGAGCTACGAGAGTATCATGGCCTTCCGTGCCGAACGCGACTTTGAATCCCTGGACACGGAGGTGCTGGGATGGAGCGACAAGCGCATTCTGAACGCCAGTTCACTGCGCTTTATGCTCTCGCAGCAGTTCGAGTATGTGCCGCCCTCGGAGCTCGTGTACAAGACGTGGAATCTGCTCACAGACTTTAAACTCTATCGTCACATGCAACCGCGTACAGTGGCGTTAGAGATGCTGCAGCGTGTGACCGACGACTGCGCTATTGTGCGGCTGAGCGTAAGCAACGGCGACAAGGTGCACCACTCGATCCTCCTGATCGCTCGCGGCCGCATCGACGGCGGATACCTCATCACGTATCGCTCCATTCCGCTGTCCGAAGGCCAGCGACAATTTGCCGCCACGGAGAGCAACTACGTGAATCTCTTCAACTGGTATACGTTCTTGGAGAAGACGACGCCCGACGGTATCCCGGCATGTGAGGTGACCTTCGGTGGCTGCGTGGAGAACCAGTCGATGGAGTATCTTCGCTATCTCATGATGGAGGTGGTGGCGGGCGTCGTGCGCTGGCAGACAGCGGTGGGGCACAACAAATTCCGTTTGACGCACGGTTGAAGTGACGCCAACAAAAGAGGAGGGCCACGTTGTGCATGGCATGTGTAGTGATGTAGTCGCCCGAGATGAAGGGGAAGTGGCCCCCTGTAGTAGTATTTAAAATTTTTCGCAAATAAATTGGATGAAATGTCGGCTAGTGAGTGACGAACAAGGAGTTCGAAACATAAGTGCAGGAAGATCGCTGTGAGCGACGCGTTTCAGTGGTCGCAATGGACTCCGGCGAATAGAGCTTAGGGAAGAGACAAAAAAATTTGCCAAGACGGATCAGTTCTTTAACGTTGTTTACACTGTACTACCGACTACATGTACAGGTAAATTGCAGTCAATTCATTAATTAGTCGATTCAGGATTACATGATCATGTAATCCGGTACAAAACATGTCAACAGCATTAGTATGGGGTATACAATACTAGTAGCTAGTTCATGAGCTGTACATGTATAACTCATGTTTAGTTTCAATTACCCTGATTGTAACCTTTCTTCGGGGCAAAACCAACAGAACCCGATGGTTTTCAAAGTCGGGGAGGTACTGGAGGAGACAAGGAGCACTTAGCACTTCTGCATTCTACCATGTCTGCATTCAAGTCATAAGCTTGCTAGTATATGTAGTGCACGTTCAAAATTCCGCACCAAAAGGTTGTCGTTTTGGCATTATTTTTTACTTCGAAGTATAATTAAAATTTAACATACATGAACATTATGTCTGTACACTAAATATCTTACCCC